TTCTGTTAAGCCTCACATCATGCCATAAATAAACAAACGAATAGTGTAATATGGAACCATTTCATTCATTTGATATATTATTAAGTGTTTCCTAATCTAGAAGACTTACTTGTGATTAAAATAAAGAATATATAGTTATCTGGATAGGGAAACATATTTCCGATTCGAGGGAATATTATACCCGAGCCTAGACGACGAAATTCGATATGCATTATGTATTAAACTTTAGGATGCACTTATTTAAGGATTCCCCATTTTCGAATTCCTGCGGGAATGGCGTCGTTTGTAGCGGACACATACACAAAGTGAGAGGCAAATCTGTCGATGACGATGACATTTTTATAAAGGCAGACGTTGGATCGTTCTGGTTTCTGACATATTTGTAACGAGAGAGAATTTAAATAACATTGGGAACTTCTGCAGTCTGCGGATTTTTTGTCCCGTTCTTTTTTTATTTTTAGACTTTTCTATGCTTATTAATGCTTATCTGATTTCCATGTTTAAGGAACTTAAGCAATTACGCTTCCATTTAGGTTTGATGTTATTTAAACTTCTTCTGTGCTACAATTTTTAGAATTTGAAGCATTTATCTTATTAGGGATTGTTATAAAAAATATGGCGTCTATTTATATATGCTTGTAATAAAATATCTGAAAATCGGATCATAAAAAAAAGACACAGATGTGTGAAACTTTGCACACAGCTTGGATAAATTGTTTTATTTCCAACTTCAAGGAAATACATACAGAAAATGACCATTTAAATAAATGAAAAGCAAATATTATTTAATAATCATGCAAAATGGCATATACCCTTAATTGTCCTTATAAAAAACATGGTGAATAAGAAATAGAGATTTAGATTGAGTGTAATTTAAATTTTAATACACATAACTTTATACTAAAATTATTTAAAAGCAAGTGTTACCCCATCATCAGAGAAAATGATTATTTGTATTGTATTTTTTATTTATATAAATATTTACTAGATCAAATACGTTGGCATCAAGTGCCTCAGGACCTAACGCAATATTTATATGTTTTAAAGAAAATTGCTGTCAAAATCATACAATGTTTTTTTTTTATTATTTTTCTTTTTGAACAACCAAGAACTCAAAAAACTTTCTTTAAATAAAATAATACCGAAAAAGTTAAAGTTAAATAAAAATGCCTGCCAGACAAACTTTGTTTTATTTGTATCGGTTTGTATCGATATTTTCATTCGGTTTAATTTTTGGTTAGTTGGACGATTGGTAATTGTTTACGGTATACAATAACGTCACGTTATTTACAAAGTTTTTTAGTTCTTAATTGGGTTTAAAAAAAAATAAAAAACATCCCGTACATCCGCCGAATGGTATAAGTAATTGGGTTTGAGGCACACCGTGTGCTTTCGTAGGATAGCACAACTTATAAAGACCATTCTTTTATTATTCATGACGAATTCCTCAAATCAGAATAACAAGTACAGGTTTATTCATTCAAGCCATGCCGCATATTTATGCAGGCAGTCGGTATGATCGGCGTCAGCGGTAATGACACGCCACGTCTGAAGCTGTGTGGTAGCAACATCAAAAATCTGACATCAACCTTACCCTTCTCATGACCCTTAGCGAGAACGAGGAGGTCTTCATTTTGGGTATATGTTATTTCAGTCAGCTGTTATAGGGGATAGGAAAAGTGCGACGTCAAGTCCGTTCAGTCCCGATACACGACGAATACTGGAATTTCTCTCCTCTGTTTCCTCTGAGAGCGCCGAACGCTCACGGTGTTGGGCGTGAGTTTGAAAAGCGTTGTCATGGAACGGATGGGAAGGGCCACGGCAAATTGTTGGCCGCGTGTGTCCTCGACGACAGGAAGGCACCCTTCCGCAGGAAATTCGGATTATTACCGATTTTGAATGTATATCGACGACGCCGGCAGGTTAACGCGTTTACACGTCCACCTTCTGCGATTTCTTGCGCCAGTCGCTAATCGTTAAGTGTCCAGATTTCGACAGAAAAAAACAAAACTAACGTTGCCTTGCCGGTCCGGCTTTGATTACTAGTCTAAACTAGTCACAGAAGCAAAACCGACACTTTTAGAAAAACTACGAAATAAATTATCCCAATAATTATCAGTCAGATACGAAAGTTTTATGTCCAATTCATCCATACTCCTTTTGTAGTCTATTTTTTCATCAATTTCAACGTAAAAGCGGACGAGGTGGGCATTTCTTTGGGCAGGAACTTTTTAGTATTTGGTTTTTATTATTTTAACATTCATATCTTTAACGGGATCCACAATTTATGTCAATTTAAATATTAGTCAAAAACGGCAATAAATCCGAAATGTTGCCGTTGAGAACCATTCTACTATCATATCATTAAATTCGTCCGTAAAATTCGTCCACTAAATATGGGAACGCTAGTTTTATCTAAATCTAAAAACATTTATTTTAAATTCATTTAAAAATAAAACTGTAGTTTTTGAGATAAATAAAATGTCACCCGTTACCTACAGTACATGACTTTAGTTTTAGTTCCGAGTTTGATTTGGCAGGATATGACTGTCAGAATTGACAAATGACAAAATATCATCGGTTGCTAAAATTTTCCGCAACCACTCCAAAAAATCGCTCCCAAAGTCGTCACTAAAGTATCCGAAATATCTGGTTGTCCAGGGCCGTGAAGTGGAATAAAAAATAGTAAAAGCTCCATGGTCTGTTAGAAATCTCTAAAGAACTGATAGATTGGAGGCTGAGACTGTTTTGAGTTTATACTTGAAAAAATCAACCTTGCTGAGTAAAGAACCTACTTGGTGAGTACAGACGTCTGAGAGATATTCGTTTTTATGTGGCATGAACGTTTCAACGGCAATTGTTTATATTATCAATAATCTCTTTTGTCAACGATTTTGATATAGTCCGTTTTAAAATTTTGAAACAATTTTTTAACCTTATCACATCTGTATCCATTGAATATTTGGCGACCCATTTATTAAACGTTTTTTTAATTTAGCTCAATTAATTAAACTGTTTTTAAGGTGTAATTTTCTTTAAAAAAATATTGATTAACATAGTTCTGTCTTAACAAACGAAATTTTAGCGGGTACATACGATGATATCAGTTTATTAATTTAATCTGAAAATTGTACAATCATATAGAAGGTGTTTAAAAAATAGTTTAAATTTAACAGAATACATTTTTCATTACCTTAAATCTTTATCTGTAGTTCCTGACAGGTGAAAATGATTTTGAGAAAATAAGTTTTCTCATTATATCTGTTCTTTTTGCATATCGTACGAATCATTTCGCCTATAAAATATTAGGTGTTCGATTCAAAAATTTTAACGAATCAAAAACAGTGATTAATTGTGTTTATTTTTGGTCCTTTGAGAGATGTTACAAGAATATTTATTGTGAGAAAAACTACGGAGGGGAAATCAAATTTAAAAAATACATAAAGTATCAATCGTCTAGAAGTTAGGGCATTAATTGCATTTTCTTTATCTACGCGCAAATAATAGGTTAAAGGTAGAAGCTAGAAACCAACATATCATTTTAAAATAGGACGAATTCTACTCTGATTCCCTAAATTCACTATGACTGAAACACTGTATTTGAACATCAACAGTTTCAACAGAAGGGTGAACCACTAGGGAATGTAGTGCGGCCAATGGAATCAATCGATGGATAATACGATGAATTGCAGACCAATGAAGTGAAATTAACAACGTTAAGGTTAGTTTACCGCCATTTTAATGGTGACATGGGATTTCCAAAGCGATAATAAGTTATTACCGTTAAGTCCGGACAATACCTAGATACTTAAGAAAAAAATGAAACTTTGTGTTTTGTATTTTTCTCATCAAAAGAATTCGACACTAGTAGGGCTTCACTTTTCGAGTGCGAAAGATCTTCTTTTTGTATATGTTATTATAGTATGTGGAAAAATGCATATCTTCATCATGATGGATGGGCCCGCCCTTCCTCGGACCAGGGAGCTGCTTAGACTGACCAGGAGGGAGTGTAGAGCACTAACAGGGGCCTACACAGGACATTGCAGGCTTAGGAGGCATCTCTGCTTGCTAGGCATTGGAGACGACCCGGAGTGTAGGTGGTGCATGGAAGGGGAGGAGACCCCGTATCATCTGCTCGCCGAGTGCCCTGCCTTGACATGGGCAAGATTGGGAGTCTTCGGAACGGCCCTGATCGATCCGGACTCAGTGCACGGTATTGGGCTAAAGGATTTGCTGACCTTCTACAGGAGGGGCGGCATTCTGGACGCCCTCTAGAGCGGCCTGGGGGCACAACGGGCCCATCTGGTGGCCTAAGTGCTTGGACGCCCGCGAGGGCGCCCCCCTTTAATACCAATACCAATACCAATCTTCATCAAGAAACACATAGGAGACGGACGGCACAAAATTTTCGCTTGCAAATGTTTTCTCCAGGCATTTTATTTGTGCATGCATCAGTATATGAATATGTTTAAGAGCAAGCCCGAAGAATTTGCTGCGTAGTTTCGGGATTTTAAAACGTATGCTTTTTGTTAGTGTTGGGACTAGTTAATTGACCGTGATCAGTTGACCGTAATCAATTGACAGACAATAGGTCACTTCTTAAATGACCGGTCAATTGACCACTTCTTAATCGGCTAGTTAAAAAATGTGTTAAATAACATCTTGCAATTTTAGAGTGTTATCTGTCATTATTTAATAATAATATGTATTTAATAATAAATTATTTTGCGTCCAATTTACCTATAACCTTTTTAAGGAATATCCGAATACAATACTTAGCCACTCTGTTTGGTTCCCAGAAGCGACCACGACGCAACTCAAGTTATAAATAAATAAATTTAAATTTCATGGTATGTTTATAATTATTTCGGTCAATTGACACAAAAAATTTGACAGGTCAATTCCACGACCGTGCTTTTTGTCTGTCTTTATTACCATATATGTGTGGATCACGTAAATAATTTTGCGGCAAATTAAAATTGACAATTTGAGTTCTTGAATTTTATTAGTCATATTTTCAGATATATACATAAAAGAATTAAAAGTAAACATTTTGCGTGTCTTCTATAAACTAATCTAACTGAAAATGAGACAAACGATCACTAACCAGCAAGGGCAATGTAAACATACTTTAAATCTTGACATTAACTTTATTTTTTTAAAAATTGCCTTATAAGGCCTTTTGCAGTTTTTCTGAACAATTCTGTATATGTCAAGGATTACAAAGAAAAATACCATGGTCAGTAAAAGTATTTTTACCAATCAAATTAATATTTAAGTGAAACTGAAACTTATAGCATGTTTATGGATAAAATACAAAGCTTCACTTGTCATATTGTGGGAAGAAATAAAAAAAATAACCAAAAACCTTTATTCTGTGATAAAACAAAAAAACAAAGTTTTAACGGATTATTACATCACTCATTGTTTAGAATTTTTATCATCCAAAGAACATGTAATTTTGGAATATAGTATACATAACAAAGACAACATATACATACACATATATGTTCGAGATATTTCTAGATCTTGGGGTATAAATAAAGTAATTTTCTCGATACTGGGTAAAAAGAGACTAAAATTAAATGTGCACAAAAACACATTAAGTCCAATTAAACGGAAGGCACTTTGGAAGTGTCTCAAACCTAATTTAATTTATTGTACACATTTGATCACATGGTTAGACAAAAATTATTAATAAATCTTGATGGCAGTAATACAATACTATTTTCCAAGTGGAGCAGTGGTCAGTGCAGTAATTACAAAATTACAGGACACAGTCCATAGAAACATAAACTAATTTTAAATTTCAAACAACATTATTACATCAGAATTAAATTACAGCATCTATAACCATCAATAAAAAGATTTGCTAATAAAACTGACTAAAACCAATTAAAATACCCTTTTTTTGCAGGTGACTTTGGAGACTTGGGAGTATTTGGTGTATGAGAAGGGCTAATCCCAACAGTATCATTATCCCCTTCTGAAAGGTATGGACTTTTTGAAGTGTCCACAGTTTGCTTCAATAAATGGTTAGTTTGCTGTTGAAGAGTCGCCTCAAACTTTCTTACATCATCTAATGACATATCTATCCATTCATCCATCCAAGTAAATGCCTGGCGGTGGCCCAATAGTAACACTTCACGAATACACTAGAAATATTTATCAAAATAATCAAAATCATACATATCAAACCACTGACCAACTGTATAAACTCCTCAACTTTTGTCTGCAAACCAAATACCTCAAAGTATGCATTAACAAGTTTATAGGAACACATTATGGGTTGGAAATTGCTACGCCATCCTTCAATTAGCGGACCCCGATTTGTTTTCTTGGATTTATAAAATTTTGGGTCTTCTTCCTCTTTGTAATGTTTTGCTGAAACATCGTCATAAGCAATATCTACGACTTCTACTATCCGTTCTGCAAGCTGCTCTGGGGAAAGACTCAAACACTAAAATATTCAACATGCATATCCATACAACATTAATTAATTAAATAAGTGTACATTATCAGTGCTACCATTGTTGTCTTCATATTTCGTCTGGATGGATATGTGAAATCTTGGAATGAAAGAACACTGAAACAAAATTATTTTTATCCAAAAACAATTAGAACAGTTATGAGCACTTACAGTGTAATCCGTAATAGTAAATGGATAATAATTCCAAGCCTTTTCAGTTACATAAAATATCTTTGGAATAATAGCTTGTACCCAATAAGGGAGTCGACTTATGAAACAAATTTTCAAAAGTAAGAGATCATACCTATAGCAATGCACTGATAAAATTAATACTAACTTTGATAAATGTATTCGCTTCTCGGTATACTGCCCTTGACCATGCACTGGATCCTCACATTCTCTGTTTTCAATTACTTCTACTCCTTCACCATCCCCAGACTGTTCTAAACTGTGTCTTGCAATCATATAAAGTTGCCCGATTTTATACTACAAGAAAATCATAACATTATACCAGTAGACACCTAATAATTACTTGCAGATATGGATAATACAATTAAAATGAATAAAAATAATGTGGAACTACTTCAGAATAAACCAACCTCTTCCACGGTAAGAGGCATGCAAATCCTATATTCTTTAGTTAATACCATGACGGTGCTCCTAACTTTTAATTTTGTAAAATTATATTAACTAAGCAGTATGGTAAACAACCAAACTTTTTTAAAAATCAATTTAAAAATTTATTTTTGAAATGTGACAACTGACATTCTTTGGAAATGGAATTACGTTTTCCCATAGAATAAATTTATTCTATGCTTTTTCAGAGCCAGAATCAAAAACGATCAGTAAACCCAAAATCATTTACTTTAATCCACGCTCACGGAAATGACCCAAATGAATTTCATATTATTTCCTTGTAAGTATTATTACATAACCCATAACCAGAACGCTCTGTTAAGTCTGATGTACATAGTGTGATGCAGAAATATAGTGTTAAAAATACTTTATTGACCGAACAATAAAGAAGAGGAGAAATTTATTTAAGAAATAAATAATCTATGCATTCTAAATTATCAAAAAAAATTTTAAACCGATGTAGAATTCAAAACATTTATCTGTGGCTTTTAATAATGTTTAGAAATTGCCTGAAAAACATACATTTTGGAAAATGATTTAATAGTAACCCAAACATTGGACAAAAAGTTCATCTCGAGTACTATTTATTAAAGTGTTAAATCAATAATCCCTTTACAATGAATAAGACTTGTTCAATTTGTGGTGGAAATGGAGTTTACAAGTGTCCTATATGTTTAATATTTTAGTAATTATTCTGCAACTGTATCGTAGAAATAATTTAATAAAAGACCAATTTTCAGTTGCTCCGTAAAGTGCTGCAAAAAACATCGCGAAGATAAATGTGAGGTTATACAGCGCGAAGAAAAACCCATTGAAAAATCAAACGAAAAACCAGAAAAAAGCAAAGAAGAAATTTCTGCTGAACGATTGGAATTACTTAGTAAAAGCATTCGGTGATTTGCAAAGTGTTCTTGCGCATTTAAATGCTTGTTTTAGAAAATAGTGATGAAGTTAAACAGCTACTTACAAATAAACACCTACAAGATCTGCTGATAACTATTGATCAAGCAGAAAATGCTGAAGAGATTATGCAGAAGGCAATGTTAGAACCAATTTTTGTGGAATTTGCAGATGCTTGTTTAAAAGCTGTGGAACCTCAGACTTTGGACTAAAAACAATTTACAAAATATTTTTCTTCCAATAATTTGTCTAGTTTAAAGGTTATGTGTTTTATTGCATAAACCTTCATAGTTAGACCGTCACCAAAAGTTTATTGGTATATGTGTAAGGCATAAATTTCAGTGACTGGAATTAATGGTCCAATTTTTTTTTTAATTTATTTACATAAAATTTTGATATAGGTTTTAAAAAAGTCAGGATTTTCATCCATACAACACAAAAAATGTACTTGAAATATTTAGATGTGTCAAATTTCAAATGGATAATTGCTCAGTTAGTTGCTCAAAAAATATGTGATGCAAATGCAATAATAACTGAGGATATTTTCACAAAACTTTAATTTCATTCATTTGAAAGAAACCAATTATAACTTTATTTGCAGTTATGGTAAAATACTAAAATTCATCTCGGGACATTTTGCTAGAAACATCATCTATAACATATTCCTGAATATCAGATGGGGCGGTAACATTGTCTATCGCTTGAGCAAGTGCCCAGTACCTCTTCCGCAGGAGAAAGGCAGAGGATTTTGGCTGACGGTTTCTAGTAAATACCCCCTTTTTGTTTCCTCCAACTCGCCTAATCTCTAAAAGCAAGTTGTTTTACTCTAACTAAATTTTTCTAATAACCATTATAAGCTACCCTGGTCGGTTTTAAAATCAGCGAAGTTCCAGATCATTTCACCTATAAACCATCCCTCGTTTCGCATTTCGTCAAAAGCTCGGAAGTGCTGAGCCATCAGATCGTTTTGAAATTCCTCCGACCAAATGTACGTCGGTAGCTAAAAATTATAATTTTATCTCTTATCGAAATTATTACACCGATTTAAAAATTCTCTTACGATATGAAGTCCCTCTTCAGAGTCCGCCCCGTATTCGGATATTAACACGGGCTTGTTATGTAATTTGTTCCAGCTTCTACATTCGTCAATCAATCTTTTGTAAATACCGTCTAATTCTGCCACGTTGTTGTACCAAGCATAATACCGATTGACACTTAGGATATCAAGAAACTGCCCCTACAACCACGCAAAAATAAAATAAGTCACCGAAATTTATCTTTATCTTAGTTACGGAATGATCTTCGTTATAGGTGTACATGTTACAAACGGTCACCGGCCTGGTTTTGTCAAAGGACTTTATATGAGCAACAACGTGCCTAAAAAATTAATAGTTATGGGGATGTGTAGATAGATAAATGATAGATATTAGTACCTAAAATAGTCGGTAGCTTCGTCCTTTTGTGACCTGGGTTCATTCGCAACCGACCACATTATAACTGACGGACGATTTTTATCCCTGTGATACAAATCTGTTAAAGACCTCTTGTGATTTTCCAAAAGTTCATCATTGTAGTCACTGAAAAGATAATTTGCCATTCATTTCATTGCCTTCCCTACGCGAGAACATTTAATAAAATCCTGAATGAAATTTCGGCACTAGTATATTCGGCAACCTGATAGATACATCTGCCCGAACTCAGATTATGTTTAGTTTCACTTAATGAGTCGCACTTATACATTATGTAGCTCATCGTTGAGATAAGAAAAGAGTAAAAGGTTCCAATCGAAGCTATATTATAGTATACTGTGTAATAGTAATCAGTTAGTAATCAAATTGTTATTAAGTTTAAATATTCAGTTTTCATATACGCAAATTGAGTTTGCGCATGCATTTGCTCGCTTGGTGAGGAAAGCATCTAGCCGAACCTAAAAATCTCATATAAAAAGTTGCATTTCTATCCATGTTCTCCTTATATTGATTGCATAATAAAATTCCTCCAAGGAAGTATAATGTGTTGCGGCAATTTTGAACACGTACTCTAAATTGATAGCCGGAACTTCATCGATGACCATAATTCCCAACTGATCGGCTAAGTCCATAATTTCCTCTGCGTAGGGGTAGTGGGAAGTTCGAAAGGCGTTGGCTCCGATCCATTTTAAGAGATTGTAGTCTCTTAAGACCAAAGCCAGGTCAAAACCTTTGCCTCTTATGTCCGAATCTTCGTGTTTGCCAAAACCTGGAATTGTTTTTATCATTAATTTTCTTAATTCTAGCAAGAAAGAAATGTAGGTGTTAAAAACAATGTACCTCTAATATAGACATTTTTTCCGTTTATCTTGAAGGACGTATCATCAAAGGTTAGTTCTCTTACTCCAAAGGGCTGAGTATAAGTATCAACCAGCTGATCTTTTTCGTATAAATCAATCTAAAAATAAAATTATTCAGTATTAATAAATTTTCTGTTTCGAGAACGTAAAAACATGTTTTTTCTCCATTTCATATGTTGCTGTTTCTCTGTTAAGTTTTTTAAGATGTTGAAATAGGAGGAAAATATTAAGTTGAAAACTTTAGATAAGAAAACTTAGTTGGCGCAAATTGACAGAGACAGTTAGTGTTCTTTTACCTTCAGAGAGTAGAGATATCCTGGGGCAGGATCCATTAGGTGAGGCCACCAAAGCTTTACCTCTGGTATCGTCAAATTACCATAGCTCTCTTGAGATTCATCAGACGCCACTGTTTTTCCTGCCTTATCCAATATCTTCAACTTAATCGAAATAGGAGAGCTGTTCCCAACTATCGTAACATTGTAAGTGACAGTGGCTAGAATATTTTTTAAATTGCAATTATATACCTATGTATATTACCAAAGCTGTTTCCTTACCTGAAGTTGCGTTACTAATGGCTGTAAGAACTTTAACGTCATCGATATAGATTTGATTAGTGGTGTAAAGCACTACTGATCTATCTATACCAGCGTAGTTGAAATAATCATATGTGTATGTCAATTTTTTTCTATTCCTGTAATACATTAGAATGAAGACGTCAATCTAAGGCCGAATAAGTAATGTGTAAGCAGACATCAATCAAGTTTCAATTTTACAAGGTCTAATAGAAAACTCAATTTTACTGCTGAAACATATAGAGGGTCATATTTTTTTAATAAAATGTGAATTCCAGTCCTAATTTGTAAATTAAAAAAATCACTTAAATTGAAATAATCTAAAATGTGGGTAAATCCTGAGGTATCCGAGGACGTGCTCTGATTGGTGCTGACATCATTTGTTAGTTAACAGTTCGCCGTCCTGCAGTAAATTCAGTAATTTCTACTATGTAATCTATGTTTAATTTTGTATTTTTTATATGAATCAAACTTAAAATTTTCCAACACTTATTAACTGTTATAAATTAATTAAAAAAAACATACGTTATTAAAGTTTCGACACCTCCTTGTGGTATGGTCGTGGAAGAAGGCGTATTATCTACGGTCACCGTTATATTATTTTCCAATCCGTAATTTAAGACCGAAGAGACGTCAGCAACAAATGGGTAATGACCAACTTCGTGGTGAACGACAAGTATCCCATTGATCACCTTAAACATAATAAATATTCGAAGGTAGAGGGAAAACGATAATTGTATTCTTTCAGACACTTACCACATCGGCACTGTAGCAAACAGAACCAAATCTGATCCACACCCTCTTATTTTGCCAGGAGTCAGGCACGAAAAATTTCCTGTTATACCAAACGGATCCAACATGGTCGCGCAGGTTAGGATTTGTAGTTATGTCGTTATAACTGGAAGGTACTGGCATCAAATTTATGTCTAAATCTGATGCCTACAAATAGTTATGAATATTGATTACCCCTAAAATTCTCAGTAGGGATATTTTACCAGTTCAATATTGCTGATGGAGTCTTTATTCGTCGTAAAATACCATAAACCATCCAAACTAAACTGTTCCCTTGTTTCGGAGGGTCTTGGTTGTAAAATGCCCCCGTCGCACCAAACGTCATTCTTCCAGAGGAAGAGAAACAATACTAATGTCTTTTTCATGTTTTACGAATTCGATTCTGTAAATTTAATTAGTATACGCTTATGTTATCTACCATAAAAGCACCAGATTGGATATCAATGGGAAATTTTACAATGGACGATAATTCACATTTTAAGATTTATTTTTATCTCCATTTCGAAAATAAATTTTACCAGCATACAATTTTCACTTTGATGGTTCGACGCTCAGCATTGGGATCTCGGAAATGGTAAGAGAGATGGAGCCCTATAATCTCCCATTAAAAATTGTTATCTTTGAAATTTCTCCAAATATTACAATAATATTCTTTACGAATGACATATTTGATTTACCCTTGCAATTCAAAAAACGCGAAATATTAAGCGACTTAAATGTAAAATCACTTTCGACTGGTAGTTTTGATCAGTAGTTCCATTAATTTTGTCTAAAAAAATTTCACTTCTCTTCGGTTTAACGATCAAGTCCACTTTTAACGACATAGTGATTCATAAAAATGATTTACAATAATTAAAAATCAAATCTGGAATCCAGTTAAAAAACAAAAAAAATGAAATTTTTAGTTTTTTCGCAGTTTTTTAGAAAATTCTAATGATAGGCAAATATCAGTTTGACGCAATAGTATCGAGCTGAATGATATGCAGCTTTGTCCAAAGTTGAACTACCTCGTATCCCTTACCGTTTCCGAGTTCAGAATTTGAAACGTTTGTATGCAACGCATGTCTGATACATATGTTGTACGTAAATAAAAAATGTTTTCTCGCATACCGTTGCTTGTTTTTTTATTAACTTCACTAATACTAATGCCCGATTTTGACTAAATAATATTGTTTTTGTGCATTCTACTTGGTGACAGATAAGTTTTATCGGTCTTTCCACTTCTGAACTCTCATTGTAATCAATCAAGATGTTTCCGAAGTATTTTGAGTCTTTTTTGTAAACATATTTGTAAACACAATGAACAAATATAAAAAATATTTGCGTTGAGTAGGTATACCGAGTAAAAGTTTAGAGGTCAAGTTTCAGACATTGCTAGATTTGAATAACAAACACAATCAAGGATGGAAGACATAAGGACAACAAAAACCATATAAAAACTATTTATTTATTAACATCTACATAATTTAGAAAACTTAGCAAAAATCCTATTACAAACACTGTCCAACTTAATCGACTTTTAAAGGCCCCGTTGCTATTACATTCCGAACCATTAACGAACGTTATCCTACCTTGTACTTCCGGATAAACCGGGCTATATTTCCGGATATACCAAGCAACAGTATCTATATCAGTCAGATCGTGCACCTTTTTATCTAGAAAGTTATCCCGTAATGCTGTAATACCGTCCCCACCATCTGACAGGAAACTCGACGTAACCAAGGTGTAATTCTTATGAGGATCCAGTGGCTCGTAAATGGGCACCAAACATAACCCGCATCTAACTTTCACCGACACTACTCTAGAATACGGAGGTTTCGACATATCCAACACCACTTTCATGCCAGACACTTGGGGAAATTCTCCATAAGATGTTTCTCCGTTTCCCCTTGCACCCTGTTCTAGAGCTCTAATCAAATCGACCCCTTTAAGAGTTTTTTGAACCACCTGGTTCCCGTAGGGTAGCACTCCTAGTAAATCCCCTCTAGTTATCTTCCCGTTGGAGCTGGTCACATCTATTGTGTTTCTAATACCTCCGCCGTTGTATAAACCTAGAGGCGCCGCGGTCCATTGTTCTGGAGATACGGTCACCACATAGGACACCAGGGCGTCAGTGATGAGATTTCCAAGGTTGCATTCTCCGCGTCTGCATACCGCGTCGCTTCCATCCAAAATCACTTTCGAAACCCCCACTTCTTCTTCGTTTAGAGCGTCGATCTTCGGCCTGTAGACGTCCAAAAGAGCCAGCACGTCTTCGTCTTGCGGTATCGAGCTTTCTAGTAGAATAGGTTGGCCGGCAAAACTAATTAAATCGCCTTTATCGTCAAACGTAACGTTCAAGACCCCGAGATACTTCGTGTAGGCATACGCCTGAACCACTGGGACTTTCTTTCCGGATTTTTGGGTGATAATTTTTGGGTAAGGATCCTCGACCGGCTCGTAGTCAGGTTGTTTTCCGTTCCAGAGGAACGTGTTAGAGTGACCACCGATGACGACGTCGACCAGTTCGACCTCCTCGGCGATTTTCTGGTCGGTTAAGTATCCGGAATGTCCCAGAGCGATAATGATGTTCACGCCTAGACTTTGTAAGTTGGTGCTTTCCCGTTTTATTGCCTCTACCTCGTCTTCGAATTTGATGCTGCCGACCGATGAGATTTTTATGGTTTCAGGTGTTAAATAGCCTATGATGCCGACTTGCCATCCGGATACTTCCAAGATAACGGATTTCTTGACTTTACTGAGGGACGGTTCGCCGGTTAAGTCCAGGTTGGCTGCCAAAATAGGCGATTTCACGGCGTCCACAAACGGCGCCAAGGTGCCGACGGTGAGGTCAAACTCGTGATTTCCAAGTGACTGGAAGTTTTACACAAAACAGATTAAAGACAAGATTTGGAAAACTTATTTAAGAGAATCGACAAGACACTTTATCCAAGCGCAAATTGAGTATTTGTGAAGTAAATTTTAACTTGCTTGATGACTGAATATAAAAAGAAAAAATGCATGGATTAAGTGTGTAATTGTATTGCACTGGGCAACACAAGAAACTTGGAAGACTTTTAAACGGTTTCAGGGAGCAACATTTGAAATTGGGATTGTTTAGTAGCGTCTAAATATACATTTTTTTCAGGTTTGGTTTAACTTTTCTACTTTTTTTATCTTTCTTCACCTTTGATTTTAAAAACGTAAGATTTTCATTATCTTAGAGGATACTTATAATTTATAAAAAAAATTATGGATGTCACAGCGTTACTATATTCGCGATTTTGTTTTCGTTAGTTTAAACATTTTTTTTGTCTGAAAAAGTTGACGAATGTCATAATATACGTTTTCCACAGCCATTAGTACAATAGTAAAATTTTGCAACACATCACGGAGTACATTCGCTAAGTGTCGTGTGGCGTGACTATCATAATAGAGTAACGTCAAAATGCTATCAATCTTAAAAAACGACCGAAAAATCTGTGACTAAACCCGTGACTAAAGAACCGGAAGTGAAACCCGAATGAAACGAACTGGAACCCAAAGCGAATTCATTCACTGAGCTCTTCAGTGCTACTTCGTTATAATTAACGATAACAAGCATATATGGTGTACCACCGATCTGTTATGAGAAGATATAAGTAGCAAAATCTTGAACATTTGGAATTAAATTAATATTGGCGGAGGCAATTCGGAAGAAATATTTTCGACACATCCGGATATACTATAAGTGGGTGTGAACTTTGTTCAATGGTTTCAATTATTAATATAACAGCATGTTGAAAAAATAAATATTTCAAATGGAAAACACCTATTTTTATAATCCCATCTTATTTAAAATTAAAAATTAACGCTACTTTGTATAAGGATGTATACTTATAGTTTTCCCAAAACAGACCGATGCATCGAAGAGCTTTATTTAACCTTTAAAATGGGAGAGTGTCACTTCTCGTCTTTGTTAATGTTCCGTGTTGTTTTTCTTAACAACTCGTGAAATAGTCAAAAACTATTTTTTTAAATATGAATTAGTTATTTCGCGAACAGCTTCACAACAACTACACTTACGATATAATTGTTTTTAATAATTAATTTTACTTTGTTAAGAAATAGGACATGAAATTTGAGTTGTCTGTTTTTTTACATCCGAGAAATTTTTGATGGGACTCTGCGATGTGGAGTCTTAACCTTCCTGGACCAAAGAGCCGAAGTCTGGCAAATGTAGAAATTTGAATCTTGATATAGAAAACTCAAACAGTTTAACATTATTAACTTCAACATTTGTTCTTCCGAGGGGTCATTCGCTAGCTAATTTCGAGGTTAGCATAACACTTCAAAGTACGATTCAACAAAATGCTAATTAGTTTGCGCGATCGATATAAGTGTTTACCTAAGGATAAATATTTTTGTGTTCGACCATCTGCCAAAATACGTGGCAGCGATTCAGCAATTTCGTGATCCAGTTGGCGGACACGCTCTGTGGGATTCTAATGGGTAATAAATTAATAACTCGCTGTTTAGGAAACACGCCTCTTGATCGTGTAGACGGGACGTTTTAAAGACTAATCTTCTTTTAATTATTTGTGATAATAACAACGTTCACATGTAATATTTTTGTTAATTAGAAACATGCGCCTGCGAAATATGTTATCGGACCAATTTCGATTAATTGAAAACGGCTCCGAGAACGAATTTTAGTATATAAAGGATAACGGAACATTTGCCAAAAAAAACGTCTGCCGTTGGGCATACAGAATAAAGTAGCAAGAATAAATTTACATACGCAAATTAGTGACAATAATTTTAGATTACCACATTTTATTTGATCGTTGGGGTACTTGTTCTTATTTTTTAGTGTATTTAGTGGATGTGTGCCAAAATAATTATCTTTTTAGGATCTAACCCAACACAATCCTATTCCTTACAAATATAATACCATTTCGAGTGGTAATTTAATTACATGACACTGTGCATGGAGCGAAAAAGACGGTGTGTTTTCTTTGACGAGAGAAGTGTGTGCGGCACCATGAAAAATGTAAAGAAGGATGTGTGATAAGTTCTGTATTTTCGTTTTGTGTATGTGTACTGATATATAGCATATTAAAGAAAATAGTCTTTCTGTTCCGATCCACACCACAACAAATATTTCCTATAAACTTTTGGATTTCATTTTTATGTTCAAATACTTATGTTAGGACATTTCAAGACGAGCTCCAACAAATACATGTGTCAAAATAATACGTTTGCTTATATATAATATGTAAAACCGCTAGAGGTAGATTTAGGGAAACAGAAAAAAAATCAAAATTGCTGCTCTGTTTAGCTTACAAATTTATTTAACATGAATATCAAATGTTGGATATTTAAATAGTTAAAATATTAAATTATTACGTTTTAAATCGTTAATTATTAAATGCAAATACAAACCAGAAATTATTCTCAAATACTGCAATAATTTTTAACAGGAAAATATTATAAATTGTTTTAAATATAAAGATTTTCTTTGTACGTTGGAATAACTGGATAAATAAAAACCTAATATTTTTGTTAAAAAGCATATAATGAATATACCCTATTATGTTGAATGCGCAAACTTTATCCTCGTGAGTTATAGTCATTATTATCTGCCCGTTAAATGTACTATTAAAAAAAATGTTAGTAACATTACTTTTTTTTGCAAACATCAGGTTCGCGCATTGATAACAATTTGCAATGTATTTTATGTTAAGTAGTAGTTTTTATGTGAAATTAAGCATATTATTTATTTTTGGAACAATGTTAAGTTTGTGCTTCTTAAAAAATTCAGTTCTTGATCATCAGTGCGGCACTAAACACAAAACTAACGGCTGGAAGGCCTTATCACAAATTTTTGTTATATCTTCTGTGCAATAAGTCTACCTTAACTGGTAACATACAAATATCGATTTTTTTATTACTACTTTATTTTGCATGCTTAAAGTGGGATCCAGAGTTTCTTGTTAAAACCCCAAAAAACGCGTGTTCTAATGTTACCAACATCCCGAAAAGAGTACCTTGCAACATCAACTATATTTGACGGCTCATTTTACCAAATCAGAACCCAATGAAATCATATTTATTGCACTCTGCAAAGGTTTTAAGGTCGCTTTAAAGATTTGATTAATTATTTACTTTACTAATACGTGAGATTCACTTCAGATTAACCTACCAGAGCATCAGGTTCCAGTATGTTAATAAACGCCGAACTGATATTCCAAGTAAAAACGCTGAACCACGATGTTCCCACGAATGTATCACCAGCGTTTAAATACAATACTGGTGGATAAATGCCTTCTTTTGCTTTCTGTCGGTATTTTCTTATAACGTGAGCCGTTCTCGCGAATCCGCCTGCAAAAAAACAAAATAATAAAAATTAAAATCTGAATATGGGATCAAAAGTCGCGTTAATTTATTATCTTGAGAAACCAATTAATTAAAATTAAATGTAAATAAGGTCAATGTCATCCGATTATCAAAATGTGTACAAATATTATATCAAATTACCTTATCATTAAATAATCTATATATGAAAGTAATCTCAGAAACTGTATCTATGTCGTCAGTTACTAATTTTTCATACACATTAGAATACCTTGGTTGAGTATTCCCCAGCTATTTTATATTTGAAAAGAATAAGCTTCATATTTTTTGAGTAGGTAGGATTTTTATTTTTGAAATTTCTGTGACAACCATTTTTCTAACGTATGTATAACGTATAATATCAATTCAAATCTTTTTTGTTTTATATTTGTTTCTATAAATAAATTTGAAATGAACTATTTATATTTGAAATTGAATGAATGATTTATTCTTTTCACCAACAATGTTATGGTACAATGATTATACCTAATATTCAAACGTATATGCATGGCTATTTTTCCATAAAGAAAAAACCACCATAGACTCTATGATATTGCCACCTTATAACTGAAAATAAATGTAGTCTGATATAATATGGATTACGAAAGAAGTGTTTACAGTTGGATAATTTTTATTTTATCTTAAGGTTATTATTCATTTGTATTCTAACAATGTGTACCTGCAACGAATACGATGGATGGGTATTGTTTGGAGATAACCTTGTTCTATTAGGAACGATGGATTTATAATATTGATGAAAGAACGCTTACATACGATAGTCCTTTTTCGGAAGACTTTCAGTACAAACTGACGTCTATTATTGGGTTTAAGAGACTTATTGTACAAACAACGGACTACGACATTAGATATGGTGTTTCAATAAACATGCGTTAACACTGCTATAGAAAAATTTTTGTTAGTAATCAATATTGTGTAATCTGATATCCTACTAATGTATCAAACAAAAGAAGCAGTACCTACTTATAAAGAGCATTTTCCGCACTGCTCTAAACGCAGAAAATCTTGTTCCGGCAGTCGCGTGCACAAAAATGCTTTCCCATTTGAATTTTAAATTTTTGAGTCACTACTAAAATTCAATTGAATTTAATTGGATCTGCAACTCAAAAAATCAATCAACCATATTGCGACGGGCATGGAAATTCACACACTGGAAACTTGTGATTTTAATTACAACATACCGGTTCCTACACATGTAACCCATAAGCACTCGCGATAAAATTAAGCTAATTTTAAAGCGTATTAAACGATCTGATTTGATGAATAAATTAAAATAATTCTAAAGTTTGCAATACATCGACTTCTATACACACATCTATACTTAATTATTTAACTTGCAACCCCTGTAAATAATCAACGAATTTCTGAACTTCTCTTAAATAAATCTTTGGTCATTAATTTTTCAATATTGTAGCTAAATGTATATATCGGCAGCATATAATCACAGGCAATCGCAATTATCTAACAAACGATTTTAAAGAAGAGCCTAGAACCGTTATTATCTTTTTTAAACAAAATTAAAATGCAACTATATAAACATTCTTACTTCAGGAGAATGTAGAAGCTTGAGTGCTGTTTACAGGTTTAGTACTGTATAAAAAATATTTAATAAATTATCATGTAATTTAATTTACCTTCGTCCGCTCCATATTTGAATATGCAAACTAGTTACTATTAGGACTTCATTTTTATAAGGTGCACGTAGATAATGATATAAACATTGTGAAAAATATCAAATGGTGATTTACTTTTTTATTGTTTAATTTTTAATTTTTTATGTTCACTTTGTCCGTATTTTATTATTATATTTATACTAACAATAAAAAAAAAACAAAATTACATAAAAAACAGAAAAAGTTCGTAGATTCTGAAAAATAAACGCTTCCAATTCTAAACTTATGCAGCACATATTATATTATTAGCCCAGCAAAAGAACTTTCCTTGACAAAATTTTAAAATTGCCAGAGGTGCAATTATTAAAGTGTGTCCGTATAACGATAAAGAAATGTTTAATTGATAATATTTGAATAATTAATTGCTGAAGGTTGAAATTGGATTTATTCCGTAAGGTTATTCGGATATGTGCGACACTTTAAACCCAGCTTGAATATGCAAAACCCTAAGTCGGCAGCAGTCTCTTTCGTTTTACTTACAATTTTGGGATAGGGTCGAGTGTATATTCACAACATTTCAATACATTCCGCCCTGGATTACAGTTTGACAACATATATCAAATGTGATGGATTAAAAAAAAATGAAAGAACCGGAAACACGTCGCAGTGTCAATAAAAATAATATAATCATACATATAATTACCAAAAGAAACATTTCGCACCTTCAATCTAAACTATGTATTACTGAAACCTTTAGGTAATATTTTGTTTATAGTTTTATTACTGAAACATAAATGTCCAAAATAGAAAAATAGGAAAACTTCAACGTATATCGAAATATTTCACAATAATATACAAATTAAATTTTAATATATTCAAATTTTAATAATTTTTTGCAGATTATATAAAAGGGTTTTTTCTGATATATACTTTGTTGGTGCATCTTCGACAATCATTTTAGATGCATTAAGAATGGTTCCAAGTTTTTTTTTCCTTTTTTTTAAGTTAATAATCTTTGTATAATAATCAAAATAAATTAAATCTGGCAAAATTTTGTACAAAGACAAGTACATTTGGAAGATTAACGTAGGTTTTAATTATTTAAGGCATTCACAAACTTTTATTTCAAATGGTAATTACGAACACTGTACTGTACTGTGGATTTCTCATACGTTGCACACTTCAATGACTACACTGTATAAAACAAACCGAAACAGCCCTATAGGGCACTCTCGACCCAGCATATTGAAGACCACCCAGATATAGTCCTATCTTTTCCCATATTTTTCTTACAATTGGGACGGTACTTTCAAATGCATAGACTCTTCAATTGAGGGACACCAAATGACGGGTAACAAATTGATCATAATAGTGTTTCTAATCGCCTTACCTATGCAACTTTTGTTCCGATTGCTAACTTGACACGATCCAGAATTCCTCTCTGTCTCGTCGAATCTTCCGTGCATGTCATTGTTGTGCAACAAAATCATGGACAATTCCTCCGCGGCCCTTTTGATAGGAACACCCCCGACGACATACAAATCCTTGGCGACCAAGACAACCAAAGCGCAAACCAAAACACTGTCGCGTTCGAACATAATTTCGATGAACCGGTTAATTTTGGAGTTAATTCCTTGGCTTATTGCGAGAGTAATTTTAGATGCCCGTTATAAATTTAGATAAAATCTTCTGTTTGGCGACGATATTCTATTAGAACCGGTCGAACTTTGTTTTATGGTGCCTGGGCATTCAGTCCGACCGATCCCAACGGTGGCATTTGCGCTACTGAGTAGGTACGTTTTAAATAATTAGCCAAAGAGACGACCAGGCTACCAAGCTTTATAAGTTTCCACTTATCGACTGGTTATCTTAAATTCAATAGCCTCAAACGTAGCATGAATTATGAACTTATATTGGCAAATTGACACCCAGTTAGGCAATATAGAAGTGACAAATTCTTGACCGCTTTTCTTGACGTTCCCGCATTGTTTTTGACTTTTCAGGAAGAATTTTCGGTTGTTGTTGAACAATTAAATTTAAAATTTCAGGCCTGTTTTCCACTACACGTTACATTTTTTTGCAAATTTCATTCACTAAAGATACTTTAAAGAAATATTATTTTCCCTGCATAGCTCAAGTCCATTAATTAAAAATTAAAATTACATAAAACAATTAAAAAACATAACAGCCATTATCTAATCATTTTTTTCAACTTAACCAGGGGGACTTTAATTTGACTTAAATGCGTAATTTCTGAAAAACAATTTTCCATTAAAAAAATCGTTTGCTTCCTTTTTATTTATATTTATAAATTTATTAAAACCTCTCGATGAAACTTGAGAACAATATCCCTTCCTGTTATGTTTAATTTAATTTCTTTATTCATTATTTCCCTTTTCCCGGGCCAAATTGCAATTTTACAAAAAGTTGCCTGGTGTTTCGGGAGACGTATAGATTCTAGGTAGCTATAAGTATTTTTTATTTTGGTTAGAGTTTGAAATATTCTTGTAAATGTGAACAGCATTAAATCATTACTTAACAAACGAATTACTGAATGAGTTTATCAATGTAGGGCATGCTATACTTTTTCTGCGGCGATTACATTTTAAGTATATTTTTAGAAAACAACACGAATACAAGCACTGAGTGGAGTGTGAAATGACCGTCACAATTAACACACGTCAAAATACCAAACGCTAAAACCTTCCAAAAACCGATTGCTCCCAAACACGTGACTAAAGTACGGGAAATATCCGAAGTGGCTGACCATCATGTGTTATAAAAATGACGTCTTAAAGTGGCACTTTCCCCACGCGTGGTCGGTGCATACTTGGTATTTAAGAGCGAGAAGTAGAAAAAAGTGTTATTAAGTTTATCATATTAAGTATAATATAAATAACAGTGTTGAAAGTTGTAAACGACAACTTAAAATCCAGACTAGCTAGTAGAGATAACAAAAATCTCCAGAATTTGTTTTTTAGTCAAAAGATATTTTGTTCTACTGCCGGCTACAAACTACCCAATTATGCATTGTAGTTTTTGGTAGATACTTATGGTATTTATATTGACGTATATGGTGACTTTGCATGTGTTCTGCATTAATCACGTTTATTAGTGCTGCTGTTGATAAACGTTTATAAACTTATTCTGTGATATACCATTCATACATACATACATTAAATACATACATACAATAAAAATGCATGCAATGCATGCAATATGTTTTTTTACTTTTACTTACTTTGCTAATAATTTATGCTCAAACCAATCAGAAATGAAAAATTACTACAAATTATGCGAAGTATCTGTAGTAGTATTTGTAAAAAATGTTAGATTAGCTAGTGAGTTAGTGGGCTACTGCTTGAATTTTTATATTTGAATTTGTATTTGATGTTAAAAATTACTATGAACAAAGGTCCGAAAACTAATTAGAAATGGCACACAAAATGTGAGGTAATCCCACTTCAAGGACGTGCACAAATAGCAAAATTCGCATTGTACATTCGAATGTTATCAGTGTCTGCTTAGTCATATAAAATCTTATCACAGAAAATACAGGTTTCTACTAGGTACGAAAAAAATTAATTATCGAACTTGACCCAACAACACTTTTCGCATTGGGAGCGACTGATTTATTTAAATATTCCAATTTGATTCACTTGAATAGATATATACAAAAACGCTAATTTTCGATAGTTCAATATAGCAACCGCATTTTTCTTCTTTTCTTCTACTAAATTAGTTCGTTGAATACCAAAATATTTTTTTACGATAATTTTTACGCTTCACTGATTACTCTATTATTTACAAAATTTTAAGATCTTTAGCCAACATTGTTTCTGTTTAGCCAAAGGAACACAAAACACATAATTTACTTATTTCATTCACATTTTGTCTCTTCATTGGAGAATATATTCATTATTCATATTTAAGACCAACCAAGGACCAAAAAAATAAATACACAAACGTAACAGTTCGTGTTTCAACTAAACTTTTTACCTTAAAATGTTCTGTTGTATCTAGAAATTTTGTCTCCAGTACTAAAGTAATAATCATGCAACATGTAACATTAACAAATTCTTTCAAAGTAGCGATTCATCATTTTCGAGTATTTTTTAGGTACCAAATTTTCGACCGTGCAAGTTCTGAATCCCCTATAATGTTTTTACATTTGTTTTAAAGTGAAAAATTTTGCTGACTTTGCCTACTAGTAGTACAAGGAATGGGGGCAGCTGCTAGCACCTTGCATATACACAAATTAAGCTTCATGATCTGCGGAGCTAAAAAACATACATTCCTCAGAACATTTATTTTGTACTTTTTTCTATTGTCCTTTAATTACTATTATGTTTATGTGGATGTAGTTTCTAACCAGTCAACCTATTTGGAGATATGTTGTCCAAATATTCACAAAATGGATTTATTGCTTTTTATCAGCGCAATCTATAAAAAAGTCGTAAAAATGCAATTGTGATATTTCGAATCTTTTTTTATTATGGAATCGCAATAAAATTTTTCATATCGCACGACATATAATATAAATATTGCTTATAATAATTACAGAATGATAATTGATATCCGTGTGCTTCCCAAATAAATTATTTATTTATTGTGATGATTCAGCTGGAAAACCAATTTTCTTAATTAAAAGAAATTGACGATTAAGCGGCGTTTCTTTTATTAAAAACAACAGCCTTACATGTTTGCCGAACAATTTTATAAATTTTCAACACCCGTGAAGCGTGGAAAGAGCACACATGCAACAGACAAGGCAAACAATAGATTGTTTTAAATTGGCGACAATGTAAATACTTGACAATTTCAATCCATCGCACCATAATCACCCTTTTCGTCGTTCGAATCGATCATTTCAATTTACTGCCTCACTTTCAAGATTTTTATTATTACACTGAATTCTAATTTATGTTGACATCAGTTTCAATGGTAGCAACCAGTACGATCACACTCGCGACAATAACGATATTATTGCGAATCGTACAGGCAGCATTTTCTGACCCGCTACCGTGTTCATCTTCATCTTCACCACTTTCATCCTCATCGTCACCATTTTCACTTTCATTTTCTGTTTGATCCCGACTTATAATTCGAATTCTTCCACTCACTTCGGGATACACGGGGCTGTATTTCCCAAAATACCAAGCCACCGTATCCAGATCGTTCAGTGTGTGGATTTTCTTATCCATGCCGAAATTTTTGAAAACCGTTATCCCATCCCCGCCATCTGATAAAAAGCTGGATGTCACTATTGTATAGTTGCTGGTGGCGACTACTTCTTCGTAGGCGGGCACAGCGCATACTCCGCATCTAGCTTTGACAGACAATACCCTCGAAAACGACGGTTTTGACATGTCGTATTGCACTTTAAGACCGGAAACTTGCATGAATTCGCCGTACGAAGTATCCCCGTTTCCTCTAGCTCCTTGCTCCAGGGATTTAACCAAATCCGACCCAGTCAAAGTAAGTTCTACTACCTGATTGTCGAAAGGCATCGCACCAAGCAGCTCCCCTCTAGTTATATTGCCTCCGGTAGCCGTAGGGTCTATAGTGTTTCTAACAGCGCCGCCATTGTATAAAGCAATGGGCGCGTTAGTCCAGCGTTCAGTGTTGACACTGGCGACATACGTCACCAAAGCGTCTGCAATCAAGTTGCCGAAATTGCATTCCGAGTGTCTGCAAGAACCTTCGAGGATAACTCTAGAAGTTCCCACGACTTGTTCGTTTAAAGCGTTCACTTCGGGTCGGTAAACCTCCAACAGCGAGAGTACGTCGGGATCTTGGGGTACCGCGTTATCCAACAAAATCGGTTTTCCAGAAAATTCGGTTAAGTTTCCATCGCCATCGAATGTCAAGTTTAAAACACCCATATATTTAGTGAAAGCGTACGCTTGCACTACAGGAACGCGTTTACCTGTAGGCTGGGTGACTACCGTCGGGTAAGGCCCTTCTATGGAATCCGTGCTAGGTTGAACACCAGTCCATAGAAACGAATGCGAGTGTCCGCCGACAACTACGTCCACCAAGTCCACTTCCCTCGCGATTTCTTTGTCCTTTAAATAGCCCGAATGGCCCAACGCGATGATGATCGTGACGCCCTGACTGTTCAACAATTCGCTCTCTCTTCGGATGGCGATGATTTCTTCTTCAAACGCCACGTTTCCCGGCGAGGAAATTTGAATCGTTTCGGGCGTTAAGTATCCGATAACTCCTATTTTGCGCCCGGATACTTCCAGAACTACCGATTTTTGAACTTTGCCGATGGCCGGTTCGTTGGTGAAATTGAGGTTGGCAGCGACTATAGGCGACGTCAAAGCCCCTATGAATAAAGCTAGATTTTCTACGGTAAAATCGAACTCGTGATTTCCCAGAGTCTATAAGAAAAAGCTCAATTGGTGAAATTAGATTTTAAGAGGTCGAAGTAAAAATGCCTACCAATGCGTCTGGTTTGAGTAAGTTGACAAACTCGGAGCTGATGTTCCACGTAAATAGACTGGACCACGCGGTTCCCACATACGTGTCACCCGCGTTCAGATACAAGACTGGTGGTGATGTCCCTTCTTGAGCCGCTTGTCGATATGTTCTTATGATATTAGCGGTCCTTGCAAACCCCCCTAGGAAAAAGGTATTTTATATTTAATGCCTATAAATCAGTATAAACTTTTGTCGCCCGTACACCAAGCAGTATCTGTTAAGAGGACTTTTGGGCTATATCTGCAACATACGTATTAAAATTACGTTCGCATTTACCTGGTTTCTGTTACAGACGCAGACGTCACAAAAGTTTAACTCACCAGTGATATTAAAGCCCAAAATTACTGCTAAATCATAAGGAACTCATAAATCGAGAATCATAATGTTTTTGTGTAACGGACCTTTTAAAAAACAGGTTTCCTAAATGTGTTTAATATTAAAAGAAATTAAAATATAACAAAAATTGGTTAGAACAGAGTTTAAATCCTGCGGGACCGTAATTAGAATTACGCATATTCGAAGATGTAAAGAGTTTTTTCTACTTCCTTCTACAAAATTCCTAATTATACACCGATATAGCGGGAAGCGCCACTTTACCACATGAGTTTCTTGTCCCACGGATCCGAGCCACTTCGAATATTTCGGGATTTACCGCACGGGTTTGGGAGCAATCGGATGTTTTCGGAGATCGTACCGCACTGTTTGAATTTTAACGTTTGTCAATTCTGACGGTCATGTAGAAGTATAAATAAAAAGTATAAATTATTAGCTGATTTACAATAGATGACAGTTAGCGGAAACGTAATATAATAACATTCATTTATAGTTTTCCATAGAACACTTTTTAAAGCTGAGATTTTGCCATTTCTAGAAAAAATACCAATAACTTGAATTTTTTTAATCGCCTTATATGGTTTCTCTATTAACTGACTATCATTCAACAATTTTTCCTAACAGCAGTATGAATACCAAGCTATAAAAAAAATTATGAAACCTAAATTAATTCTTATACGTAAACTTCGATTTTACATATTTGCACAGTGTGTCTACTGAAACAGCAGTTTTATTGTGTTCTAAACAAGAGAGCAGCGTTCAAAGAAAATCAAAACATACTAGCAGACTTTTATTATTATTATGTAATGGGAGGTAGATCTAAAACATATATTTCCGTTTTGATTTTCTTTAAACACTAGTGTTTTGTAGACTACTAAAATGGATAAATTGATTGACAGAAAATGAATGCAGGAGATTACAGGTTTGTCTCGAACGTTATAGTAGTAATTTCACTGCGCAAAGATAAAGTCCAAGAAAATAATGTTTATAATCAAAAAACACGATAGGGCAGTGCCAAAAACTTTAAAAGTCAATTTTTATTAGATACAAATATATTAAGCCTATCAGGTCATCAAGGAAAACACGTCAGTGACTTTGACGACGTACATACCTACGCAACTAACATTTTTGTGAGCGTCCTGACAAGTTCCTGAATTATTTTCGGTTTCTTCGAATCGACCGTGCATGTCGTTATTGTGCAGCAAAACCAAAGTAAATTCCCTCTCAGCTCTCGTGGAAGGAACAATGGAAGTCCAAACCCCCTCGTGGAATAGTAACACAGACCACCAAACAACGAACAAATGCAAATTGTTTTGCATTGCGATTCTAAAAGTGAAAAACTAGTGGAATTGAATAGCGGTCTGTATCGGAATCAGGAAAGCACTGTCATATCTTAACACATTAAGCAGTTGTGGTATGGATACATATAATCTAATCAAACCATAAATCCTTTGGGGATTGAAGGATTATGAACCGAATCGATCTGATTTATATATCCAAATTCCTAACCGCAATGAAGGAAAAGTCTTGGTTCGTGGCGCGAAATTCGACGAAATGCTGACAACAGGTAAGAAATCTACATATATCAAAAATTATATTACTTACGCTCTAACCGAATGTATGTAATACCCTTGCTATTTGCTAAACGATAGCGGATAATTGCTTCGAAGCAATAAAATGTTCGTCGCGACGTTGTCATACACTCGTGGGCGTGAGAAACAGATAAAGGAACCTCGAGTCTTAATGCTTTATGATGTCTTTTCGTCACTAAATACAAGAAACTTAGAATACATACATACAAATAGTTTTAACTAAAACTGGAAAGTAATTAGTAATAAAAGTTATTCGAAAGCTGCTAGCGAAAACTGGATAGGAACGTTTTCAACTACGATGGTTGCCTCAGAATCAGTTGATGAACATCGTGTTAAGGGGCAATCACAGATCACAATCACTCCCTAAATGCATTCACCAATACCTTTATCCAAATTGACTGTAAACCGAAATAAGTAAACAAAACCGTCCGTAATTACATTATGTAGTAATAGTCTGGTTTGGGAATATAGCATCTTAAACCTAAACAAATTAATTTGAAAATATTGCAGGATTACCATTCGTCTTCGAGTCTTCATTCGTGATTATAGTCATTCTAATGGATGGTCAACAAGCAATGCGCAAGTTATTTTCTAAATTCTTTTTTTATTTAAAAGGCCCATTTGTGTTAGTAACTGTGAAATCGACTCGACTACAACGTTGGCACGTAATTGAATAGTCCAATTTTCAATGACTCTTTCCGTGTTTATTTGCACACACCTGCGACTTCAAGAAATCCATGAGAGATAACCCTGCCCTCAAGTCGTTCACGCACATGTCGCACATGTCCTCTAGGTCCATATGGTTCAGTTCGGTCCATAAGGAATTAGTTCGGGTTGTTCTGCAGCGCTCGCCGTTGGCGGTGGCTGCCTCAAAATCCATTCCCAATGGTAACTATTTGAGGATGCGTTATGACTTGGTACACCTCGCATTGGTTGGTTAGAAATACGATCTCATAGTCAAACGACTGAAGCCCAGTTAGCGACCAAAACGCGTTGTCTATGGTCATGAACTTGAAACTCCCGAGTCAGTTGGTTATTGTAGAACTACCAACTTAAACGAGCAAAATTCGGCAAATTGGGTTCCTGTCTTGAGTTTTGCAGTATACTTTCTACCTTCTGAGGCAATGTTCTCGACGGAACGTCACAATTCTGCCGCAACTATATAATACTGTCATATAATTTTTATCATTTGAACTGTTCAATGGCGTAAATTGCCATGGCGAGCGGACATAAGTTACCCGCGCCAGTTGAAAAAACCATTAGATGCGAGTTTGATCTTGAGTTATATAGCTGTAGAGCACGATTTCACGTACTTCCTCCTTACTAGCAAATACTTACATAAACACATAGTGGACGGTTTATTCTCTTACAATAAAAAACACAGCATAATAAATTAAAAATGATAATAATAAAAGAACTGATAGGTAGCTAATAATTTAGATTTTTCGAAAATTGTTAAGGTTTCAGCTATTGGTGGTTAACATGTGAACATTCTTTTAGGAAAATTGGCAACGGCGCGTTCTTTTGCCGCAGGAAGTTACTGGTTGGAAATTGCTTGCGGGTTTTTCAATTAGGAAATAAATTATTTAATTTGTAATAACATCATTTCTTGTTACTTTCCTAATGGAGTTCTAAACGCAATTGGACCATAAATGCCAATACAATTCCAAATTGAATTTAACTGCGACACATCTACAAAATGGGATAATATTTTGATGTATCTAATAAAGTGCCACCAGCGAATGTAATCGCAAATAGAGTGTCATGATTCAGTTTTAAGGGCCATATAAAAAAACAAATAATGGTTTTTAAAAGGGTCTCTTAATAGTAGTGAAAATAGAATAACACCGCTTAACAACTTCTTGCAACTCTGCCAGATTTTTGTTCGGCTTCTCTGCGCCCAAGGTCTTTATCTTGGGCAAGGTCTCGTTCAATATTCTTCTGGCCTCTCGAGTATCGCATTTATGTAGTTTCTTCATATCCGACTGGGACAATTGAACGGAACCTCTCAAAACAGGCAAGTACTCATAAAGGGGAAAATCTTGTTCACACGCCACGCATCTACAGTCGAAAAAGTATTGCGATCTTAGTTGCGATTGCCGATCACTTCTTTTCATAACCGCATGATGAAATCTAAAAGATTTTAACACCTTGTTACCTGAATGTTCCCATGGCATATGGGCTTAGAATCCTACACTTCACTTTAGGCTTACCCATAATTGTCATAACATTGTTCATCAGTTTTGATGCTGTCTATGGCAACAATCACTATGGTCGTTTGATGGCAATATCGGGATACGTTTGGAGAACACGAGTGATTAAACAAACTCAAAAATGAAAACGCTCCGGCTCCTATTTCTTTATCGGTCAAATCACCACCGAAGCAGGGCTGAGTGATCTACAAAAACCAATAAGCAGTACGGGATATTGCCCGACATCTTCGTTTTACTTGGTGAAAATTGCATGGTCCGGTTTGCATGTGCAGCAGAACCAATTCCTTAAACACATTGCGAACATTGCTGCTCTTTAATATAAAGAACTTCGAATGATTTTCGACTAGATGATAAATAACTGCAGCGTTCACTGCTCTTTTAAAAAGGTCGGCTACGGTCCTACTGGTCGTATTGGACACCAACCCGTGAATTTCTGCGTACCTAATAACAGCGCAACAATTTTCAGCCAGGAATAACCAGTTATCAGTTTATTACCTATCACTTCTATACACTTCATCGTTTTCGACGGGATTTGGAACACCATCTCCAACGAGCAGAGCAATTCTCATAGGAAGAAGTTCGAGCTTACCCATCCGCAGTGATTTCAAAGATTTTAAAATAGGACACTCATAGGCGTGATATTTTAATGCCAAATTTTCGCATTCTTCGCTGCAAAATAAAGCTTGAGTGCACCATTCGCAAGGCACCAAATTGTAACAAAGTTTTAAGCACTGGTGACAATTAGTATAAAAATCGTCTACCAAGAAAGAGCAAAATGGAGTTTCGACGGCTAATATTTCACCGGGATCTATATCTCTCGTCGCAACAACGTGCCTTCCTTGTGAAGGGGAATTTTTTATAGCTATTGCCGATGACGCGCATTGAATGCGGGAATTTTCGAATTCTTTTGAAATATTTGGAGCGGGCGTGCAGAATTCGACCTTGAATTGTGCGGGTTTAAGTGATTTTGCCTTTTCCATTCGAGTTTCGATTTTTGCCTTGAGCTTTTCGGGATAACCAGATTTCAATGCTCGATTTATGTCCTGCAATGGGAAATCTTATTGGAAATGACACACCCGATCAATATTACTTACTGCAATACACTCTTCGTACAACCGATTTTCGAACAACACCGCAGATCTGTTGGCGTAAGCTAAAGCCAAATTTTCGCTGCTGCCAGGCGAAAATAATATACTTTTGGTATAGAACTCCAATGCTTCGACGGAGAGTTTTCTTTTAAAGGCTTGGTTTCCTTTTTGCCTGCATTATAATAGAAACGGTCAAGATTTTTTCTCAAAACTTTTCTCAAATTGCTGGTACTAAAGTCTGTTTCTGAATGGTGTTGAGGAATAAAAAGTGGGGCCGAATTTAAGAGCTGATTGTAGGTACGTAGAAAATTAATTCATGATCCATAAATTGGGTAAAAGTTCATGTAAGTAATGAAATTTTAAAATCAAAGGAAGCTGTAATAATTCTTCATTATCATTGAACGAAAAAGTCACAGTTTAAATGTATTAGTAAGTTGGGCATGAAACTTGGAAGCTTGTAAGATATGAATTTTGCATGATTGGATGAAATAGGTTTTTATAAGTATGCTCGCAAAGATTACGTCGCCTAAAAAGGAGTAAAAGAGTAGTTATTTATAGAAAAAACACCAACTTCGTGTTGTTGGAAACTGGCTAACTAAATTAAGATTTTAGATTTGAAGAAAACACATTAAAGAAATAACTATTAGGTATAGTGAATTTATATAAAATTATATGCAAAATATTACTATCACATTTTTGAAAAATATATCAAGTTCAATTGACACAAAACAGGGAGGCGGGCAATTCTGAAGTCGAATTTGAAGCACAAATCAATGCAAAACTTTGACACAAACAAAAGGATGTAAGTATAAGTAATTTTTATCTTAACGGGAAATAAGGAAATCAACTTTTTTTATTTGAAATAGTTTATGCAAAAGACTCCTACCTTACCTATATTCGACACTCAACTCACTGCTTTTGCCATCTACCAAGAATTGTGGAAAGACAGCGTTCTCCTTCAACAAATCAAGCGCCAAATTAACTCTGTCCGAATTGGTTTCCAATGCAGCGAAAGTTTCCGACACAGTGGTAACTTCGCTCCTCTCCACCAGACGCCGCAACAAACGCTGACTAATATCCCTACCGTCTAAAAGTGTACAACACGTTGTCAAATCAATGTGCGGAAAAATCAGAAAGTCGTACAACACGAGTCAATAAAAAGTAGATAAAGTTTGGGATTGTTATGGATTGTACCAGCATTGGGCGGGCACATTACCATAAAAAAAATCATTACAGAAAATCGAGTTTTACTTGTTGTTGGTGGCTGACGGGCATCAGTTATTAAAAACTTCAACTTTCCATTGTTACACGCTGTAAAGACGCGTTTGCGGTCAATAATTACATATACGTACACTTTGAGACAACACTTAAAAATTACTATATTCGGTATGCACATGATGTTCAAGAACAACAAATTTCTTAGCTATCAGTAATTTGGTTTAAATGTGGCAACACTCACCTTTATTTGTATCGCAAGGCATGCCGTCGTTGGGCTAGCTTCGCAAAAATACTCAAATCGATTCAAACAATTTTATGACGGCACTTGTAGACATTAGTTGTAGATAGACATTAGACATGTCCAGCTATGTGGCGCCTTTTTTGGTGCTCAACCTGGGCTCGGAAATGATATACGTGATAGCTCAACGGTTGCAGGCACAAAACGTGGCTGAGGAACGATCCACACTAGGTGATATTTTGGTCGCTATCAGCACGTTGTTCACTTGCACTCGGCGCCTAATTTAAAGCACAGCGTTAAATCTCGTTTTGTTCCGCACCGCAGAATTCTATATTCGAGTTCATATGAATTAATTTTATTAGGAACCTTGGATTACACGAAGTTTATTTTCAAGCAAAACCACATAGCCTTGGAACTTTCCTATCCCATTTTGTCATTGGTTGCAAAAAGCGCCGAAAAAATTACGCCAATTTTGAATGTCCAAAGCAACGAGATTTTCATTTAAATTTATCATAATATGTTTATTGAATTATAATCTAATGCCTAATCGCTACTCGATTGATGGTTAATGGATTGGCTTTAAAAACAAATATTGAAGAGACTTGTTGATTACGTCTAAGGGCTGGCCCGTTGAACCATATTTACTTCTTACACACCTTTCTTGTTTTAACCCGCCCGAACGAGATTCCTACAAGAGTTCGCCAAATTCGTTGACGATCGTACATTTTGGGGAAGGGCAGAAAGGATTTTAGATCAAGAAGATTTAAATCGCTTGGAATAGTGGTGTCAAATGTTTTTTCCCAACTCCCTTCTGTAATAGTATATTATGCAACAACTGCGGTAAACTGCACGAGTTTATTTGGCACGAGCGGAACGCAGTAGAGCGAGCGTTTAATGAACGAGTGACTTAAAAAGTTTACCGAACGTGTTGCATACTATACTTTCTCTACGACCGTCAATTCTTGGGTTCATGCATTCACTGGGCTTGGGAAATATCTCCGAAAATATCCGATTGCTCCCAAAATCGTGCACTAAAATCCCGGAAATGTCCGAAGTGGCTCGGATTCGTGGAAAACGAAACTGTCGTGGTAAAGTGACGCCTCCCGCACGCTAGATCGGTGTGTAATTAGGTATTTTGCAGACGGGGGTAGAAAAAATACCTATCTAGCATGCGTATACGTGAGTTTCACGGATCCGAGTCACTTCGGACATTTCTGGGATATTACCGTACGGGTTTGGGAGCAAACGGATGTTTTCGGAGATATTACCTCACGGCTTGAATTTTGACGTTTGTCAATTCTAACGGTCAGGTCAGTGAATGTATTAGTGGTTTTTTGGAAAAATGTACCCAAAAACTAACGGTAATAGAAAAAGTATGGTATACGACACGTATGCTCGTGCCAAATATACTCATGTACTATTAAATGTGGCTACATTGCTACTACGAATAATCGTCGTGAAATGTTGACATTCAACCATTGAAGCAACGCAACAAAACAATTTTTTTCATTAAGGACGAAAATTATTTGTATTTCCGTTGTGAGACAAAATAAAGTTCTATTAAAACGTGAAACTCTTTGTTCTAAAAAAATATAAAGAACGCCCTATATCTACAAATAGGTATCTGCATAATGTTACCTTTTGAAGTCAAACATGCAAAATCTATTTTTATCGTCCCTCGTTCGTAATATAGTCCCTACTCGATGCCCCGTGGCTTACAAACACGCAAAGCAAAAAAAAACAACTTTTTTACAAGAACGATGTTTAATTAGAATCGAATGAATGAGAAAAATTCAATTGAGTGCTTAAAATAAGAGCTCCTTATAGGTCGTCGGTTTAAAAATAGATTTTAGGGTTCGCATCTATTATTAATAACTCGTTTACCTAGATCAAAAATTTTAAATGGTAAGATATACAGGATAGCTATTAGAAATTACACTATCTCTCATATATTTATAAAACATTTCAAACCCCTCCCACAAAAAACCACGTTACAAGAGCAATTCGAGCCAAAATGCAATTTTCAAGGATTTTTTTAATTTTTTGCGGTGGGATCATATGATGCTTTGTTTACATATGATGCCACTTTAGCAATACCCTTGCATGTCGTCTATTCTTATCTACATATATCTATATCTCTATCGAAATCTTATCGATTCTCAATAGTATTAACTACAATCAAAAAGGTTGTTTAATATCCGCGCATATACTAGAATACCTTGTTCACCGTTCAATTTTTTCGGTAACAGTATTAGAAGACCTCGTCTCAGGATTAACTTCAAAGTCGCTTATAGCAGCACTCACGAGACCTCAAGCGACATATTCCCACGAATCGGTCCGTGAAATTATTGAAAACATCACTCAGTCGTCGGCAATGCGACTTGACGCCATCAGCATGTCAAAATTGTGGGACTTGATCACCATGGTGTTCAAGTGGCAGGTAAGTCGCTCGGTACTGAACTTCCCAGCTAGCAGACTCACGTAAATTTGACGTAAATATGAACCCTTGTTTCATTATCCCATAAAGTGAAATTTGTTAGATATTGAAATTTATTTTATTTTTATGTATGGCAATTTTCAAAAAAAAAACTGTTTTTCTCGTTTCTTTCAAATTCTTTTGTATACGTCTTGATGTGACATATTCACGTCCAAATCACGTCATTTTTACATGAATATCGTGGTCAAATTGTCGTAGTGGATGCCCAATTTATCACGTCAATTTAACGCCGCCTTGCAAGCTGGGATACCTATACACCAAAATAAGTTTCAACTAACCTGTTAGTGTCATTAGGGAAAGCTGAAAATGTTAACAATGTTGTGCTGTTTAGCAAAAGAATTGATTGATCAATGCATTCGATTTTCCATAATGATTAATGAAATACATCAAAAAAATAGTTGATACTCTTTCATCATTTCTTTGAAAATAATTTCCAGCCATTTCTTTTGTCAAACCTCTAATAAAGCACAGCGTATAATAAATAAAATAAAAAATAACGTGGCACAAGCTCAACTGGTGTCTTTTTCCTAGTCCATTTCAATTTGATAAATTTAAACACTCTCGTTCTTAATAAAGAAATTTAGGTAATGGTGCATTTTTTTGGAACACTCTATATATAATTATATATTTATATTTATTTTGTATTTATAATTATATATTTATATTTATTGAAATTGAATGAAGACGGCCATTTTGTATTTTATGTACTTTGAGAAAACCCTATACAGGCAACCTGTTCTCAACCATTATTAAGTATAATAAATGGTACTTTTACGGATAGTTAATAGGTGATTTCACAGATTATTTTGAAATATATATGGAAAATTAAAATGGAAAACATATGTTGCTATAATTATATATTTATAACTTCATCGATACAATAGTTCTGAGCGTCAAATGTTGCTTATCAATATTACTTCTCTAAATTTAGCACCGCAATAATATTATGTAGGTACACTACTTTAGTTAATGGTTTTTTTTAATGACAACGTGAATTTATCGATTTTAATATAATTCTTGGGAATTTCCTCTATTTATGGGTCTATGTAGGTCACTTATTTCAAGTCGCTCATATAGGTTATGATTCTCATAACATTTCACAGGCTAACATTTTTTTTCGAAAACAATCATTAAAATAGGAGCAGTCTCTACACTCCATTTAACAATAAAAATGTGGCAATATTGCATCTAATTTTGAAAATCAACACATTTAAAAATTCGTTCGTTGTTGTTTTCTAATTTATTCCTTTATAATTAATGCAGTAAATATTTTTAATAAAATAACTTTTTTTTTCTTCATAAAAAAAATCCAAAATAGGAAATTTAAGGGAGAATGGGGGCCACAAAAAGTCTCCCAAGTGTTTGGTATTACCTTTTCTGTTTTTAATGGATCTAGTACGTATAACTAACTGAAAAATAAAGCAAACGATTAATACATACATACAAAATCTTGAGACTGTTTTTTAAAGTAATATGACCAAAAAGTTCCATAAACAACGCTTATTACAGTTTTTCAATAAATTACATAAATTATCGACAACATCCGGTCCTATATTACGTACTGGAGGGATAAAAAAAATCCAATTAAAAACAAACACATTACTTTTTTAAGGTAAGGTAAGCAAGATCAAAAAATATTGATTTCGGTCGAAAATATTCCTGCTTTTTTTTTCCGCGTATTTGCATTTTTATTTTTAAAAAATGCTTTCGATTAACGGAGAAATTTGATTTTTTAAAATAAAAACTCAAAAATTAATAATCGATTTTTCGTATTCAAATTCGATATTCTAAATCCGGTTTTTTATTTTGCGCACTGGAGACATTTTCATACAGGTCACTTCAATTTTCAGATCGATATGTCATCAGAGATCGTGGAAATCACTCTACGCCATCTCTACGAAATCGAAACGTTCGTAGCGAGCGAAGAAACGCAACTTCAGCTTCATAGGGTGCAAAATATAATTTCAAATTTTGGCAAAGTACTCAGTGACGATGAAAAATCTTTGCTCTACGAAGATATTCAATACTGGTGTAAGGTGAGCATAATTTATATGATAAGGCACAATAATAAAAACACAATATTCTTTTAAATAAAGATTAAAGAACAAATAACGTAAAGATACATTCAGCCATTTATAATGTTTTTTAAATATTTAAAACGAGAAAGTTGTCTTTTAAAAGTGTTTCAATAGAAGGGCTTATATTATATTGAGGCAAATATGGCTCGGTGAAAAATAAAGGGGCGAGTAAGCAGCACGTTTTCGCATTCTTGAATTGTTTTCGCTTTGTGTCTTATTAAATATCTAGTTCAACAAACTTGTAACATTTAAGAAACTCTATCTCTGAACATTTAGAAGCAAAATTAAAACACGCAATTATCCATGCGATTTAGGATTTCCACATCAGGGTATCCCTACTACTCAGAATGGGTCTTCAGAACATGGACGGTGATTTCGTCGTAAACAACCTCGATCCTTTGGCGAAGAAAATGCTGGAAAATCTGGGTGAAAACATATACCAAGCCACTCAAAATGGTAAAATTTTGGAAAACAGAAATCCCACCACCACAACGGTTAGCGATCTCAATAAGAATGTCAACGAATTAAATTGTTTTGTCGACGAGGTGCTTGGGGGCCAGAGAAAACTAAGCAGTGGTAGTATGGAAGGTGCGTAGGTATCGATAAGCTTATGCAGGTACTATTCGTTTAGAAAAATCAATCATTTGGTAAGATACTGCGCTTGCATCTAAATCATGTCCTTTGTCCCAAAACCCTGTGAGTCCCCATTCAATAAACTATTTATAAATTAATCAACACGCGATTAAATTTTAAACAGGATTAAACAGAAATAATATCCTTTTTTTTTGTCTTGCTTATAGCTTAAAGTCCGAACCCCTTTCTTAATCATTTGTAAGAAACTACAATCTATCGATTAACTTATTTACTTTTATTATTTAACGATTTGGTTTTTTGATGTTACAACACATGTGAAAGCTTTATGGTTTGTTGTTTTGGCCTGGCTGGACAATTAAAAAAAAACTCTGTAAAGTTTTTCCAATATCTGTAAACTGCGAAAATGTTTCTTGGGGTTTCCCCGTGTTGACGTTGGCTTGTTAGATTACTTTCGCTTCAATCTTTGAGCTTTGTCGTCACGAACGAAAACTGGCATGTTTCAGGCAACAGCAACGTCTCAAGACTACTAAACGACGAAAAACTAAACAACAACCCGAGCACTAAACTAAGAAGATTCGATAGTATCAATGTTGATATCAACGAACACGAAAAATTGCAAGATCTGGTTCATGATTTGAATATAAGAGGTGATCAGTTGGAAGACACCAGTCTTAAAGATGAATTGCTGGATATGATCGCAAATGATGACACCCAATCCATTGTTTAAGGGAATTTTGTCTATGACACTTTAGTGAACCATCAAAATTTAAGGGCCTCTGCCAAAATACTGTTTTTTTAAGGTTTTTTCCAGAGTTACCGCGTTGGTATGCTTGTATACCCTTCTTCTCTTGGTGTTTTATCAACTATTTTTGAAAAACACGCCACAAAAAATATAAAAATGCAATGGAATTTACTCTTTAACCCAAAAAGAGTACATTTCATGTATTGTGTCATAATCGTAATCACTGTAACTCACGAAAAAATCCTTATTCCGGATTTTAGTTATAAAAAAATACTATGCTGGTCTCTTCTACATTTTTCTCAGGAAGTGAATGTAAATCTCTATTCTGCTGTTCATTTTTGTATGTATATTGTTACACAGATGTTCATTGTTTCAAAATCATAATACACACATGAGAATAGTCAGTTTTATACATTTTTTGGTACTCCTAATCGACAAAAACAGTGGAGAAGGACAAGTAATAATGGAATGATAGGTAAACTAATCTAATTCTACTGATATTTTGAGAACTAACTTTTATTCTGCAAAAATTAAAAACAATATTGGTAACATTGAAAATAATGGCATATTGTGGTAACTAATAACATTCTTATACAAAAATACAATTAACAAAATTAATAAAATTAATTATTTCTAGTCAAATAAAAATATATACTTTTTACCAGTCATTCCTGTTAAATTGAGAGCATTTTCTACTGCTTCTTTATAATTATCAAAACTAACAAGCTTATGAACAGGACCTCGTAACTCATCATGCATCATAAGTGAAATTAGTTCAGAAAACATTTCAAATCTCTCCACACTATCCACATTTTCTTTTACCCATCTAGTCATCCAAAAACCCCGTACTTGAAGGTCTTTAAATATCAAGGCAGAAGTGGGAACTGTTACAGGTTCCCTAGACATTCCACCATAAGTTACTATGATACCACCATTATCTAACTGTCTCATACAATCTAAAGCATTTTTACCTCCCACACAATTTAAAGCTAACTTTGGTTTACCTAATTTACCACTAGAAAAAATATCCGTTTGACGCAACTCTTCTTCAGTCAAAATATGAGTTCCACCTAAATTTGTTAAAAATTTCTTCAATTCTTCTACATTAGGCCTATCTCTAATAACATTTACAGTCTTTATACCCCATGAATGACAAATTTGAATCACATTTTGCCCACAAGCAGAGTTGGCTCCATTTTGTATAACTGTGTCTCCAGGTTTCAAAAGAGTGAAATCCCTTAGCATTCTGTAAGCTGTACAAGGATTTACTGTCAAGGTTGCAGCCTCAATTAAACCAAGTTTCTTGGGTATTTTAAAAACATTATTTTTATGTAGAACTAAATGGCTTCTCCAGGTTCCCAAATTGGTCGTTAAAGGCACAACATGATCTCCTTCTGAGACATCCTTCACTTCGTCTCCTACATAAATTACTTGACCAACACCTTCATTGCCTGGTACTGCTGGTAACTTTGGTCTTGAGGGATATTTTCCCTGTATCGTGTTTATATCAGCGGGATTCACTGGAGCAGCCAACATCTTTACGACAACTTCATTTGCTTGCGGTGTTGGTACCTCATATGGGACTCTGTTTAAAACTTTCAGAGGATCCCCATATTCGGAGTAAATCAATTTTACAGCGCTGTTACTGTTATACCTAATCGACGGCATCGCAGGGACACGATATTGAAATAGCAGAAAAATCGATTTCATATTAAAAGACATATTTTAGATAAATATTTTTTAATAAATGCAAACACAAGAGAGAAAGGTTAGATTAAGGATATTGGAATATCTTCTTCATTTTTACTTCTAAAGACCAAAGAATCTCTCTCTCTCTCTCTCTCCCTCTTTGCTTTTTATGTAGGCCAAATACAAAGGACACTAACCCATTATAAGCGTTCTTAAAGGAATTTTTTAATTTGGTCACAGACACTCAACAAGTCTCTGTTTAACAGCAATATAGTAAGTAGTCTTAGGACGCTAAAAATGGCTACAGTACAGGCGGTACTGATGTTTTCGTAAAAATTTCACATATTAACTTGTACTATGCGCCAGTTTCTTTCGATATCCACAGACCCTTTTGTGCAACAAGATTTAATGGAGTCTGGACATATTTCGAGAAAATACTGCAGTTACGTATCGTCGATCTGTCAGTGGCCATATTGATTGTTAGTTAAAACCGAACCTTTAAATCTTCAACATGCTCACTTAAAATGGACTCGATTTTTTTTCAAAACACCATGTTTAATGCTCACTATAGAATCTCCACCTCTCCCCCAAGGAATCTTTATATTCAATTTATTATACGTGAACACGGTTGCGGGGCTCATTATTTCATTTTCGACGTCTATCGTGAATTAACTAACCGTTACTTATCGACATTGATATGATTGATTCAGTATAATCCAATGACATATATTAAAAAATTATATATACCTATAATGGCTAACAATAGATTGAAAAAAGGTGTTCTGAACAGTAAAATTTCAATATTTTATCTCTGGTAAGTAAACTCTGATATGTGATTTGTTTGTGGTCCGAGTTGTTGATCGTGTCACAGAATTTTTCTTTTACAGTTTTATGCCAGATTCGACTGCTAGGATGTGATTGTAGTTCTGGTTATAGGGGCAAATAGCAAGATAATTAATTTTTTATCAACTGGAAAAGTATCATTCAAAGGTTAAAATGTTAAACGATCTGTTATTTTGCAGTTTTATCTATAAGTGTTTTTCAATTCGAAATTAGCGGTGATTCCAATAATTTTGCATTCATGTTAAATTGCTTAGGAAAAAATGCAGCAGGCATTTGTTGAATTAAATAAAGTGCGAACAAAAATCCTTACCTGGGGCAGATGGATTGAGGAGTCCCAACAGGGAACCAATGAAGTCGTGATCCTAATAGTGGGTACGTTAACGTGACAATTCCTTACAGAACTTAGCGGTAGAAATAGAATTTTAACTTTTTAGGAAATCCTGGTACAGTAGGATTTTACGAAACATTTGGCAAAACTTTATATCAACAATCCAATATTCCTGTATGGTGTGTTGGGCATGCTGGTCATAATTTTCCCACTGAAAACTCTTTTACCAAACTGCCCAAATTTTCTGATAACAAAGAATTGTATAGTCTAAAAGGTCAAATTGAACACAAGGTAAAATTTGTGATTAGAAATAATTTAAAGGAAAGTCTGTATCAGGAATTTTAGGTAGATTTTTTTCGAAAATATGTTCCGGAAAATGCTCAAGTACACCTCATAGGTCATTCTGTAGGTGCTTATATGGCATTGGAAATTCTGGAACATCCAGAAGTCAAGACTAAAATTAAGGATGTTTTCTTGATTTTTCCAGCCATTGAACACATAGCCAAAACTAAAAATGGCAAATTTTTAAACACATTTATTAGACCTATTGTATGGTTTGTAGTGTTTTTAACTTGGATATTTACAAATCTTCCTGATTGTCTAGCAACATTTTTGCTATATATTTACATGTTCATTGCAAATATTCCTAGACAATTACATGTTGAAAATATAAAGCAATTTCTCAAACCAGGTATAGTGAAAAGGGTGCTTTTCTTGGGAATTGAAGAAATGGATTTTGTTGAGGAAAGGAATAATGATGTCATCAGAAGAAATGTCAAGAAAGTAAAGTTCTGTTATGGCCAATCAGATAATTGGACTGAACCAGCTTGCTGGGAAAACCTTAAAGCTGACATTCCGGAAGTCAACTGTGAAGTTTCTTCTTTCGAGCATGCATTTGTTTTTAATCAGAGTACAGAGGTTGCATGCAAATTAGCAGACTGGCTGAAGAAGTAGGCTCATTTGCTTTAAAAGCAGCACTTTTGGAAATAAATCACTGTTGAAATTGAAATGGATTAAATTTTCATGACTGATTTGGAGGCGATGAAACAGGAGATATTAAAGAACCATTTACATACGATATATTTTGATTGTTGCAGTACTTGTGTTTATGTAAATTGTTCAATCAGGTTTTACTTATTCCATTAGTCATTTAACATACATCATTAGTTTGCAGTTTCATTCATAAACTTTATTAAAATTATTAGTCAATGGACCCTTAACCTGGCAAAAAAACTACACTTCAATAATGCATCTCATTAGCTTTGTTTTCTCTCGTGGAAGATGCGAGTTGAAACTTAATAACCAATCATCTGAGAACCAGAGAAAAAACTTTTCACAGATAAGCAAAACTACTACGGTCATTCGCCCATTACCGACATCCATCGAGAAATTTTTTCTTAAAGAAAAAATATTACCAATATTTGTTCTTTGACCTATTCCAAAGAAAACTGGCATCCAACCAGCGTGAACGGTCAAAATAGTGCAGCCGGCAATACGTAAAACACCAAGCACCACCGAAACAAAATCGCACGAAAAAAGATCGACATCAAATTTTTGGGATGAACACATTCTGCACAGAATCCAACTGAGAACCAATTTAAAATGATACCAAGACATTATAAAATATTTCTTTGAGTGTATACCAATCCTAGATGAAGAGTCGCTAACGGCCATTTCCGAAATAACTAGATTTCACAAATTACAAAAGTTGAATCAGCATTTCACTTTAATATAAAAAGTATTTGTCAACACCTTGTTCTTAGAATCTTTTGTATGTAGCCTGTAGTATGTACTGTTAAGTCTGAAAATAAATTTCCACCGCATGACACACAGCAATATCAAATATTGCCAGTGATTTTTTTTTAATTTAATTTTTAAGAGAAATTATTAAAATATAATTTTAATAAATATGAGAACTGGTCGTCTAATCAATACAACACCATTTTTATGGGACCCTAGTGTATGTAATAAATTGACTAATTAAAAATGAAAAAAGTAATTTGTTTCCTATTAAAGTGTAATTTAGATATTTAATATCGTTAAATCTGCATATGAATTCGAACTTGTTTTAGACTTTACTTTATACCCAAGTGACTGTACTTTGTATATAAGTGTACCTCTGATTTTACAAAATATGTTTAGTTTGTCTGGTTGCTTTAACAGGTTAATAAAATTAAGTTTGATAAATTCATGTTTTTCTGAAAATTCCGAGACGTCTTTTGCTCCATACTGTTTGGAATTATTAATGTATCAAACATTTGTTGAAGCAAACAAAGTGCAAACCAAAATTCTTACGTATGGCAGACGGATACAAGACTCCCACCACAAGAGCAATGAAATCATTGTGGTCCTATTAGGTGAGTGGATGAATATTCAGCTGAGTTTAAGAATGTAAGCAGAGGTATGTGTACAATAACTAGGAATCCCGGGATCGGTAGGATTTTACGAAGCCTTTGCCAAAGCGTTATTTGATAAGTCAGGCATACCTGTTTGGTGTATTGGACATGCTGGTCATAACTTTCCTCCTAAAAATTCGAAAATACAGTTTCCGCCATTTGAAGATCACCTGGACTTATACTCTTTAAAGGGACAAATTGAACATAAGGTAAAACATTAAAACACCAGCCTTACATCTAGCTATGCTTTTTTCTTAAAACTTTTTCAGATAGATTTCTTTAGGAAATACGTGCCAGCGGGTGCCAAAGTACATCTTGTAGGGCATTCAGTTGGCGCCTATATAGCTCTTGAGATATTGGACCATCCAGAAGTAAAAAATAAAGTTGATGATTTGTACCTGTTGTTCCCTACGATAGAGGGCATGGCAAGCACTAGAAACGGAAAACATTTAAATAATTTTGTTAGACCGCTCCAATCGGTTCTGGGTTTTTTAATTTGGATATATGTTATGCTACCAAATTTTTTAGCAACTATATTGGTTTATGTATACATGTTAATAATGAATATTCCTATAAAGTTACACGCGGAAAATATAAAAGAGTTCCTTAAACCCGGCACCACTAAGAGAGCTTTGTTCATGGCATTTCAAAAACTAGATTACATGAAAGAAAGAAACAGCGAAGTTATTAAGCGAAATGTTAAGAAAATTAAATTCCTTTATAGTAAATTTGACCAATGGACTGAACCAAACTGTTGGATTAAACTCAAAGAAGATATTCCGGAAGTTGATGTAGAAGTTACCTGTATCGACCATACTTTCGTTTTCTATAATAACGACGATGTTGCTGAAAAAGTTATAGGTTGGATTAAATTAAGAAATAAGCAAACGATCAACTAAATCACAAAAAAGTGTTAATTATATATACATTTAAAATAGTCGCGGCTATGTTAAACGGTCTAGCCTACATTATAAAATTTATATTTAAATAGACCGATTTCTATTGGACTTTGTGTTTTTCAATTATTTACAACTAATAATTAAAACCTGATGCAAAAATAAAATTGATATGTTGTCATATTTTTTTTTATTTAAGTTACTAGAATAAAACACAAAATTACTATTATACTAGACTTTGCTCAATCCACCAGCTACACAATGAAGTGGTCGAAAGATAAAACTATTATTTCAATTCAAATTCAAGTTCAAGTATGCGTTTCACAAAAAAATGTTGGGCTCGACTGCTAGGATCATTCGCCCATTGCCGACTTCCGTCGAGGATCTTCGCTTCTGGTCAACGACCACCACGTACAAAGAAGAAAAATAACCAATAATTTGCTCAGCTAGCAAAAAAAGATTCTGACCGATACCAATAAAAAATCGGCTTCCCCCCGCTTCCACCGCGGACCATCCGGGCCCATCCGGCCTCCATACCGGCGTGAACGGGGAAAAACGACGGGGCCGACGACGATTATCACTTTAAAACATGCACTGAACACTAAAAACACTAAATCCACACAGTGGAAACCGATATCAAACTTTTGAGGACAAAAACAAGGGATTCTATCGGGAGCGAACGGAGGTTAAACCGTCGTGTGCAATGCTCCACCACAAAATCCCATTATTTCAATTACAATTTTTTTGTAAGTTCTTCTTGTTTTCTTTCATAGCCAAGTTACTAGAATCATTGGCCGCCTCGTAAGTTGGGACACAAACCTAAGTTATTACCACTTATAAAATGTTGGCCATGATTATTTTAATTACTCCTACAATCACATATTTTTTTTTCCTCTTCTATATTTGGTTACTCTACACTCTCCGGAGTCAACTTTTTCGGAGTTTCTTCTCGAACGCAATATACCGAAAAACTTTTTTTTGCTGTCTGTGATTTCTTTTGACTCACTAAAATTACTGTTTATCTGTGAGGGCAACCTCAATTGAGTTCCTTTGAACTTTGTTGTCATTAAGAAGGTAGGTTATAATAAAAATTTTCTAATAATCCTCGATCATCCGTCTGATTTCGAGAATTATAATGGAATTAATGGCATATATGCGAACCGAAAAATCTGTATTTTATAGTAGTTGGTGTATTTTCACCCACAGAAAACTTGAAGTTGATATTTTCTATTTCTTTTTTAGCGTACCTTCGAGCGAGTGGGATAATGGTAAGTTTTAATTTAAATTCTTTGGAGAATATCCTTTGAACAAGTTATTTTTAGCCGCGGGAAATCACCGAAATTAAAGAATTCCTTTTGACGGCCAGAAGGAAAGATGCAAAATCCGTCAAGATAAAGAAAAATCCCGACAACACCAAATTTAAGGTCAGGTGTTCCAGGTTTTTGTACACATTGGTGATAACTGATAAGGAAAAAGCAGAGAAACTAAAGCAATCTTTGCCTCCAGGTTAGATCTTTATTTTTGTAGACTTTTATTAACTACAACAATCTTCATCTATTACTATTATAATTAACTTTTTGTTGTATGTATGTAACTGTATGTTATATAATCAAACCAAATTTACAAATCTAATAGAATAATTTTTTGATTTAATATACTTCAAAGAGATATTAATAGTTACACATTTTAATTTCAGGTTTACAAGTGAAAGAAGTGAAATAAAACAATGTATTTGACTTTTAACTTAATATAAATGTTAATTAAGTAACCGGTGCTTTATTCCTCATGTGTAAGTCCTTATATCAAATCTGTCTTCAGACTCTGATCCTGATGATTCGGTTTCTATCTCTTCATAAATTTTTGATTTTGTTAGTCTCCTAGAAATAAGCTTAATAACAAATGTTTCCAAGTATAGAACTAGAATGTTTTATTATACCGTCTTTTAATATTTTCCTTAATTTTATCATACATAATTTTTATACATAATCCAAAAATAGTTAATATAATTGCTATGGCAATCATATACAAAAATGAATCGAAATTAGTATATGTAGTTGGATCTTCAATTTTCGGATGTAGTGTTTGTATAGTTATAAAAGTTTGATCTGTTACCCTGCAATACAGCAAAAATCCAGAATTAAGAACTTGCATGGCGACTATGTACCTTTCCTCTAGAAATGTATCCAATCCTTCTTTAACACTTTTTTCCAAATCCCTTCCAATTTCTTGAAATACAGTTTTACCTAACCATTCTGCTAATTGGTATTTTCCCATTTGTCTCAGTCTGTGTGTCAAAAATGCATGACTTTCACCTTTACCCAAACCCTCTTCTGAATTCCAATGGTAAAGATGTTCAATGCATGAAATATCTTTTGGCATTTTCCTTTCTTAAATTTATTCCGATTAAAAGTGTGCAAAAATTGCAAAAAATATAGATCATCAAATACCTGCTTGATCTAAAATTTTTGGAGCTTGAATAATTTTAAAATGAGCTGAAGCCACCAATCTTCTACATTCTTCCGGAGTTAAGTGATTGGCTAAATATTGTAACTGGGCGGCATTTAAATCTACAGTGGCTTGGGATACTTTAAAGATTATAAAAATACTATTGAGCAGGAACCTTAAGATATAGGCACTTAATATATAATTAGGACAAGTACACATTTTAAAGTAGTTGTCAGTGTCAGTCAGTAGGTATTTTTAAATCTGCCATTTAGTAACCAGATTATGAATAAACTTGTGTTCTTTTGAATATCCTACTATGTCGGGTATATCGCTATAGTATAGTTTAATTTAATTTAGCGAATTCTTTGTTAATTAACATCTACACACTATTCTCCAGTTTTAAGCTATATTTCTAAAACATTAATACATTGCAGTGTTTCACAAGAAATATGTATGTATTAAGTACTCCCAATACAAGTCACGTCACTTCAACAAGCCAAAAATCCCCCATCAATTGGCAGACAGGTTCCAGTAATCATAGCTGCGTTGTCGCTTAACAAAAACACTATAGCGTTTTCGACGTCTTCAATCTCCGCAAACCTGAGAACAATCATTCATATCGGTTATTTTATTTGCACCCGGCGTGTTCCTTAATGATATGCGACCTGTGACGAATATTATATTCTACACTCAAAAATTAATGACGTTTATGTAATTATTTTTAATTGAACAGGATTTTTCTTTTAAGCTTAATCATTTTTTTTGTTTCCTTAAGTATACTGAGTGTTATGAAATTCGACTCTCATCACTGAGAGATTAGCGCAAAATTATGTATCGATGATTACGAGAGTATATCTTTGATACTTTCAGAAATTTAGCGTAGAAACTAAAATTTTCTTGGAAAATTTTCAATGAAACTTTTTGGCGAAGTCAGCAATCTCGTAGGGTATTTCGTTTTTCTTAAACCACCATTAACTTATTTGATAGACTCCATATTGGGTTTTTCCAGTTTTGCATTTTTTAAATATTTTTAATTGTTAAAGTTATCCAAAAATATGAAATATTAAATAAAATCCCTTTTCCAGCGGTTTCTAAAATAATTGATCAATTTCCATTTTGTAGAGCTTATAAAGCAAACTATCATTATTTTTTCATATCACAACCTAACAATCATTGAAGAACACTTTGCCACCGGGTAGAACACTGGATGTTTTGGAAAAATTAGTTTGCTGAAAATTTAGGCATATGGGTTGTTACTCTCTATCAGTATAGCAGCAGTGTTGTTGCTTGTAGAAAAGTAGGAACAATTTTGACTTTTGAGAGATCTATGGTGTTCTATTTTCTGTTCCGAATCACTTCAATAATTTTTGCAAAATATTTATTTAATATAAATACATTTTCTTAATGTTTCCCTGAAACCGACGCCAATTTAAATTATTATTTCCGCTGTATTTAGATATCTAGAAAACTCAAATTTTGACTGCAATGTTTATAAAAACGATCAAGGTGACGTCAAATCAGAACATGGAACAACATATAAAAAATCAAAGAGTCCAATGGTCTACTTTCTATGTATGCGCAGTACAAAAATTCTTCCATACCTATTCAATGGTATTTTAGACAGCATCCATTCTTTCTTGGCAGGTTCGGACCATATCTGTTTACCCAATTCGGTCAAAACCACAGTTGGATTGACAGCGTTAACTCGGATGTTATGCGGTCCAAGTTCTATCGCTAGAGCTCGCGTGAAAGCATCTACGGCCCCCTTTGAAGAACAGTAGAGCGTTCGATGCAAAAGCCCTAAACGGAATGAATTGTTAACAATTTTGTCACACATTTTGAAGTAATTTTAGTAATGGTAATAATGGTATGTTTAAAATCTATGTAGGTACCTGCTCTAGCAGCTTGGGAAGACGTGTTAACAATGGCTCCAGTACTTTTCCGGTTTAAAAGATCCTCTACCACCGTTTGGCTGACAAGAAACAGCGACCTTACGTTTACATGAAATGTGCTGAAAGTAAATGTAACTTACAGGTCGTGAAAAGGGTAGACCAAGAACACTATAGAATAATTTTTTGGGATAAAAAGTGGTGTATTTTGTATTCTTTCAAAATCTGGTGGATATTACAGTCTTAAGAATATCAACATTCGCTATCTTTTCCAACAAAAACGGGATTTCTGTATTGCACTTTGATTACTCTTCTTTTTAATACGAACATGAAAAAAAGAAAAGATAATTGGTGGCAGCATGAAGCATGATGGTTTATGCAACATTTTATATATAAAATTTTTATTTCAAGCTTTTTCTAGAATATATTTTTGCTTCCCTAAGGCTCAAATACTATTTTGTTTATTTTATATTTACTTAGACTCCATTTATGAGGTAATAGATCATATTAAATTAATTAAAAATATTAATTTTTAAGTAAATAAAATTAATAAAAAAGCACAATAGAGAATCAGTTAAAAAAATCACCAAAGGAACACGCCACATTCCCAATTATTCATTTGTTTTTGATTTTTTTGAGAAAAAAACATGCTGAAGATGAGTTCAAATCTGCAATATAGAAAGACAATACAGTCCATCAATAACAGAAGAAAAACTTTTTAAAAATAGAATTATAAGGAATTTTTGGAATATGTATTAAGATTTTTTTTACATCTTACATCTTTTAATCTTATATCTTTTTATCTTTCAGACTCTTGAAAATTTTTCATAGGTTCTTCTGAATGAAGAAATTTTGTATTGTATTTTATTTTGAATATGTGCCAAATTGGGAAAAGGGTTATCGTTAGTCTACTTACATTTTTGAAACACACTTTGGAGAAATAGGAAATAGAATCGGTAAATTGAATGAAAACAAATATTACTGTGCTGAAACTACCTGTCGAATTTTTCTGCAGTAACGTCAGTTACCGGATCTACTGTAGCAATCCCTGCATTGTTGACTAAAAGGTCGATCGGTAAAACTAATTTGATGGCTGTTTTGCTAGCATCCCAGTCCGTTAAATCGGCTTGTACTGTTTCGATTAACGGAAACTCTTGTCTTAACGTAGCTGAAAATGAATGGAACTGAACTCCTTGGCAACATTTGGAAAATTAATGTTACGCACCCAAAGCCTCCGCGTTTTTGTCGAGAGCAATGACTTTGGCGCCGCCTTTTAGAAGACGAATAGCAACACCACGACCAATTCCTTTTATTGGGAATTATTAAATTACTACGGAGACATTATCTTGAATCTTGTTTAGTACGCTATGAAATATTTTATTTTAAGTCTATATCATGGTACCGCACCTTCAAATTTACAAATCAATAAAGATTAGTTAAGCACGGGGTTCTTTTAAAGATTTTGGTTAACGTCAGTCTCATCATATCTATTAAATATTAGTTCTGTTTTAAATTTTCATATGGAAAAAAAAGATTAAGATTTTGTAAGAGCCATACTCAAATACCTTGAATACTTAAATATCATTTTGCACTATCTTTATTATACCCTTATTTTATGTGAAGGATTTCCATGCAAAATAAAGTACACGGTGTTCCATTCCAAATTTGGTACTTATATGTGAATTGAATTGAATTGCAGTTTGAGAATTCATAGTTATTTAGTATTTTATATGAAATTCATCTACATTTAATTTTTTTTATTTAAGTTCAGAATACAATAACACCAAATGTTCAAAATACGAGTCATCGTTATACTTCTTTTTTAAATTTGATTTTTTATTGTTAGATTTAGGATCAGATATTCTAAATTTATTATGTTCAATTCATCCTGAAATCTACTTGATGCTAATTACCAAAATAGGCTGGGAGACAACAAGTTTTAAAATATACTACTGAAAGTTTACCTTACCTGCCACTTGAGCCCACGAAAAGCTGAAATTTTGACTGCAATTGGCGAAAGCAAAGATATTGGGCTTGTCTCGATAGATTTAGGTAACAGAATAGTGAATTAAACTAAATTTCCTTTAAAATGATACCGAATAGTGGTATATCTTTGGTTTTTTCTATCAGTATCGTTCAACACTAATGAATATTTAAAACGAACAGTGACTTACCGGATCCAGCACCGGTAACAAGGGCACGTTTTCCGCTAAAAGAAATGTCCATACTTTTTCAATCCGTAACGTTCAAGTTTTGCTACAAACAAACCTTATTTGAATGGTTCGCGTACTGCAAACAATTTTGTTTAAATTTGAGATAAGTGATAATGGCTGCGATAGAAGAGTTTTCTGTTTTATTTTAATTTTAAACGACACTAGCCTAATTGTTTTGAAACAGGGGATTACAACGGGATAATAATACTCATAACTGGAACCTTTAGTCGAAGCGAGTTAATTTATAGAAATTCTAGTTTTCAACGGTTCAAACTTTTTGTTTATATTATTCTACTACACTGTAGTATAGCGAAACCAACAGCTGAAAAACCAGAATTAATAGTACTAATAGGGAAAGAACTTTAACAAGAAATATACTAATGGCAAAGAGTTAAGTTATATGGGCGAACAAGTTAAGAAAATCGACAGTGACACTAGAAATTATAAACCTTCAAAACACCTGGATTTTTGAGAGATGAGGCAGAACAAGACATCATCAAAAAATGAGCTGAATAATTTAAAACCGCCCTGAACATTACTATCGACTAAGATACCATACTGGCAAAACAGTGGGACCAGAAGTAGACTCCCTAACAACGAAAACGTGGAAGCAGCAAAACAATAAGTCCTGAACAATGTGGAAGCTCACAGAATGCTATAGATACGATTCTGTGAGTGTAGCTTTTAACCTGATACGACCATCGTCGTTCAATTCTGGTTCCAACTCTCGGGCAATCCCACCATTCAGACTGACATTACTACCAAATGATCAACATAAAAACTAGTGTTTACCAGGCAGGCACCATTGTGCAGTCATTTATCTACCTCTTTGGAAAACTTTCGAATGACAATAGAGGTCAAAGTAAATGAGAATAATATTATTAACAAATAAAAACAAAAAAGGAAAGAAAGAGTTGGAAAAAGAATGCTGGGAAAGCAAAATTTCACAGGATAGAACATCGAGGAGACAACGAATGCGAAAAAACTTAGATAAAGAGTATAAGTTGTGAAACCACCACTGCTACTGCTAATTTAACTGCAACAAAACAGGAAAGACAATGAAATAATGAAACTTGATTGCTCTTCTTCCGTTTTATTATAGAAAGAGAGAAGCTTACAGTTTATGCACATACATTTACAGACTACCATACCCTATTTGAGTTATGAATTCACTATTAACATATAACTTGCATTTTTCTAAGAGGCCAGAAAACCACCGTCAATTGGCAGACAACTTCCCGTAGTCATAGCTGCTTTGTCGCTCAACAAAAACACTATCGCATCTTCGACATCTTTTATTTCTGCAAACCTGAAAACAAATTGTTGTAGAATAATTGTCAAGCGACAAAAATTACGAACTTATTTAGCGGTATTCTAGACAACATCCATTCCTTTTTCGCCGGGTCAGACCATATCCTTTTACCCAACTCTGTGAAAACTACAGTCGGATTGACCGAGTTTACTCGTATCTTGTGTGGTCCAACTTCGATCGCTAGAGCCCTTGTGAAAGCGTCCACAGCGCCTTTGGAGGAGCAATATAACGTGCGATGTAGAAAACCTAGCCAGAAAAATGAGCTAAGTCAGTGTGTATTCCGCGGATAAACTAGTTTGGCTGAAGATCGGCAATAAGACGAGAATCCCTACATTTTTGTTAGTTTTAGTTGCATTTTTTTTGTTATTAAACTAAACCGAAGAAACAGAAAGAAATGTTTATTGTATTTATTACGTAGGTTATTGTATCTACTTTGATACATTTGAATTTTACCTACATTTGTACCAAATCTTTGTCTTGTGTAAATTCAGTTACTCAATGGATATTTTAATCAGTTATATTGCTTAAGATACAGGTGTCGTTAATTTAAGCGGTACTGCAACTGACCTGCCTTAGCAGCTTGGGAAGACAAGTTAACAATAGCACCAGCAGATTTCCTTTGCAAAAGATCCTCGACCACAATTTGGCTTACGAGAAACAACGATCTGACGTTCACGTGGAATGTGCTAAAAAGCCGCCGAGAAATTGCCAACTTAATTTTTTTTTCGGAATTACTTATCGAATTTTTCCGCTGTAATCTCAGTGATGCGGTCGATGGTAGCTATCCCAGCATTATTCACCAACAAGTCGATAGGCAAACTTGATTTGATTACTTTTTTGCTAGCATCCCAGTTCCTTAAGTCCGCGTGAACGGTTTCTATCGACGGAAATTCTCGTTTTAGTTCCACTGAAAAACTGAGCGTAATGAATTTCTGAATTGCGTTCTGCTGCTAACAATACGCACTCAATCTTTCCAGATTCATGTCGAGGGCTACGACCTTAGCACCGCCTTTGGACAAGCGAACGGCCACTCCTCGTCCTATACCTTTTAAAACATTTCGAATTATTGCATACAATTGTCTTGTTAATTGCAAGTATTTTTTTTTAAATAATTAATTTAATAAATCCTGCTAGTTTAATTGTTTTTTGGAGGTTGTTAATTTTTATTTTAATGTGTATAAAGAGTGCTCACTATTTTTTCGATTATCTATAATAGTATGTTATGCAACAAGTGTGGTAAACGTAATGTTGGGACTGGTCAATCGACCACTAGTTTAAAAATGTTTTAATTATTTAATAATAACATTTATTTTATGATAAATTATTGTGTTTGTGATGTTTAATTTACCTATTACCCTCTTCACGTACTATCCGAATACGATACGTAACGATTCGGTGAATGGCAATAATAATATCGACTCCCTTTGGCTTCCGGAACGAAGCAACAACGACGTTACGCACAATATAAATATAAATATGTATAAATTTCATGGAACTCCGCCTGGGGTCTCTAAGGGGTGGATTGAGTAACTCTAAAGAGACCACTGCCGGTCCCAAGCCCGGATAAAGGAGGAGGGTTGGGGCGATAGGCCAGCTCCCTATCACCCTTAAAAACCTGTAAAATGCTAAAAAACCTAACCAAAGCCTCGGAATCGGACGGAAAAACCAAAAAAGACTTAAGCAACGAAAAAGGACAATGAACTATGGGACATGGAATGTTCAAGGACTAACCCGGAAAATGAATGAAGTAATCTCAGAAATAAAAACTCTTAAATTAGATATTGCGGTAATTACAGAGACGAAGAGAAAGGGACAAGGATCGGAAAGCATGGGATATTACGATCACTTCTATAGTGGAGTTACGAAAGACCGGAGAGCACAACAAGGAATATCCATACTGATAAAAAGAAAGCTGAGGAGGTACATACACTCTTGGGAAGCTATCAGTGAACGAATGATTAAGATGAATTTAACTATATATGGGTACAGAGTAACTATTTTTGGTGTGTATGGAGTAAATGACGACTCTCTAGTGAATACAAAAGACCAATTCTTCGAGGACCTAAACCAGGAAATAACAAAAGTAGGGAAAACGAGAGAAATTATTATACTTGGAGACTTGAACTGCAGAGTGGGCAAAAATAGAGACAGCCAAGTAGTAGGACCATATGGAGAAGAGACAAAAAATGATAACGGAAATCGATTGATAGCTTTATGTGAACAAAATGATCTTAAAATAATGAATGGATTCTACCAATATCGGGACATTCATAAATACACGTGGACACAATCTACAAGAAACCTAAAATCAATTATTGATCACACAATTATGAGACAAGAAACGAAATTGACCGTACAAGATGTCAGGGTCCTTAGGGGAGTCACATGTGGTAGCGACCATCACTTGCTCAGAAGCACAATTGTACATAACACAAAAAGAGACAAACACGAAGTAGAAAAGCCGAAAATACAAACAACTACAAAAAGATATAATTTAGATGGGCTCGACCATGAAGGTACAAGGGAACTATATAGGAAACGTCTAGATCAGAAGTTAACAGAAACGAGATTCCAAATTCCTGAAGAATATCATGAATATATCAAAACGTGCATCCACTCGGCTGCATATGAAGCATTAGGAACATATGAGACTACAAAAACTAAAAAACCGTATTTCTGGGACCCAGATATAGAAAACGACATAATAGAGAAAAGACAGAAATATCAGAAATACCTAAACAAAAAAAATGACGGCGACAAAACGGAATATAAGAAAGCTCAAGCTCGCGTTCGAAGAAAGATAACTGAGAAGAAAAATAAATCCTGGGAAAGAAACTGCTCCAAAATAAATACATATCTAGGTGGCACAAAAAGTACGGAGAGCTGGCGATTAATAAATCAATTAAGGCAAAACCAAAGGAAGGACATAATATCAACAATAACAATGGACAAATGGGAAACACATTTCAAAACATTACTTACAGAAAACCGAACAGAATTTAAAACAAATAATGAAATATCACAAGTAACAATAATAGCATCTCCGTTAAGAATAACGACGAAAGAAGTTAAAGAAATATGTAAAAACCTAAAAAACCGAAAGTCCGCTGGTCCAGGAGAAATACCAGGAGAACTAATAAAATACGGGACGGAGAATTTATATCGCCATCTAACAAAATTGTTTCAGATGTGCATAGACGGGGCTGATATACCAAGTGACTGGAAAGGCTCTTATATCACAACTATTTTTAAGAAAGGAAGTAGGGACAGTTGCTCAAACTATAGAGGACTAGCAGTAATGAGCACACTAAGTAGAGTATATGGTAAAATATTGAAAAAGAAAATTGAAGCTGAATATAAGAGATAGAAATAGAGGAACAAGCGGGATTTAGAGCTGGGAGATCAACAGTAGACCATTTGTATACAGTAACACAGGTTTTAGAGAAAAAAACAGCCAAAGATCAGGAGGTACATCTCCTCTACATAGACCTTCAAAAGGCTTATGACAGCATACCTCTAGAGAAACTATGGGAGGTTTTAGAAAAAACGAACATTAATTCAAATGCGATAAAAGCGGTCAAAAATCTATATAAAGATATAACAGCTAAAGTCAAAATACAGGACACTTTTTCTGAGCCCATACCAATTACAAAGGGCCTCAAACAAGGATGCTGCCTGTCTCCTGTATTATTCAAAATATACCTACAACAAGCCTTACAAAAATGGATGAACAAATGCAGAGGAATGGGAATCCCACTATTAAATGAAACAACATTATATACCCTTTTCTTTGCGGATGATCAAATACTCTTAGCACAAGATCATGATGATCTAGAATATATGGCACGAAAGTTAGTAGAAGAGTATGGAAAATGGGGATTAGAAGTTAACATCACAAAAACTGAAAGTATGACTGTAGGAGGAACATCTAGAAATATAACATTGGAAGACGGACGCCTAATAAAAGACTGCCAGGAGTATAAATATCTAGGACTAAAAATAACGCAGGACGGAAGATTAGATGAGGGAATAAAAGAAAGAATAATACAAGGAAGAAAAGCAATAGCCATGCTGAATGGGATCTTGTGGGACCAAAGTATATCCAAAACTAATAAAAAAACCATATATAATACAATAATAAAAAGTATCATCATATACGGAAGTGAGGTATGGCAGCTAAAGAACAAAACAGAAAATATGTTACTAGCAACCGAGATGGACTTCTGGAGGAGATCGGCTGGAAGATCAAAAAAAGAAAAATTAACAAATAAAAAGATAAGAGAGATTATGGGAATAAAACATACAATAGTAGACGACATAAAAACAAAACAACTTATATGGTTTGGACACGTACAGCGCATGCCCGAAAACCGAATCCCGAAACAAATACTATTGTGGACACCGCAAGTTAAAAATAAAAGGGGAAGGCCTAGAAAAAGTTGGAAGGAGGGAATAGAAAAGGAACTAATAGAAAGAGAATTACCAGACCAGCTATGGTTAAATAGAGAAGAGTGGAGGTTAGGTGTCGGAAAACGGCGTAGAACGTTCTAGACCGACATATATATATATATATATATATATATATATATATATATATATATATATATATATATATATATATATATATATATATATATATATATATATATATATATATATATATATATATATATATATATATATATATATATAAATTTCATGGTATTTTTAAAATTATTTCCATCAGTTGACCGGTAAACTGATCGGTCAATTGACGCAAAAAAAATTGACCGAGCAATTCCACAAGCCTAGGTAAACGGCGAGTGCTTAATCAACGAGTGACTTAAAAAGTTTACACGACTGACTGACCTGACCGTCAGAATTGACAAACGTCAAAGTTGAAGCCGCGGGTAATACACTTTTCGCAGGCTAGATCGTTATACAATCGGGCATTTCAGAAAAGGGAGTACAAAAAAAGATATATCTCTTTTATGGTAGTTTTCATCACTTACACATAGAGAAAACATTAATTCTTTAATCGCCCTCTACATTTTTGATTTACAATTAATTAGTTAAATAATAATAATTAAATGTAAAAAGTCTTGGCAAACCAAATATCAAAACTCAAAACCCAATATTTAAGTTGCAATATACAATTCAAGTTGTGACACCCCGATATTCCTTTTAAACGACACTAAACGGGCGGCAATACTCGTGACGTCATACCGCTGCTTTTCGATTGATACGGCCGAGACTTATATTATTTACGTTTATTTTTGGCTCGTGTAAAGGTGCCAATCGTATAATCGTGTGAGTGTGCTATCGCGTTTTAGTACAACCCGTAAAACGCAAGATAAACTTTTTATTGGTCTTAACCGTGCAAACATTTTTAACTCTTGGAACTTGCACTCATCCTATTGCAGTCTCCATATCCTGATCTATATAAAATAAAGTACACTTTAAGTTATCAATGCCTATAGATTTTAAAACCTGTATTTAGTTTTCCACTAGTTTCAAAAAAATCCTTTTTGTATTTTTATTTACATTTTATTTGATATGCGATTTGAGTTGCAAAAACAGGTTACATTATATTGATTTAAAACTAGTGGCCAAATTTTCTATGAACACGCCTTTTGGCTTTAACACCGCGAACCTCAGGAAAAGGGAAACTTCCGGGGGTATGTAAGAGGTCCATAAACGGTTGAAATTGTCTTTCGTTACATCTGTTCCTTTTGTGGATTTTAACATACAATAAGTGTGACAAGCACGAGGACACACTAACTCATATTCAGTCCTTCTATTTCGAGGCATTTCGATTAAACAATGCCTCGCTAATGGGATATTATTCACGAATAATGTAAACAAGTATGGCTAATGGTTTGGTGTCGATATCTGTTGTTCGAATGCGTTCAACTCTTATTAAATTATACCAAAATATATTTGGATGATTACTGACTACGAATTGATATCTGTGATCGTTTTTAAAAGAAGGAAAAATACACAATTATGCGATATTATCAACATTTCATCATTTCAAGTGTCTGTCTCTATTTAAGAAATTATCATTCAACAAGTACAGTATTTTCAGTTAAAGGAGAGATACAAATCAAAATTATCACTTTGATTCAATTTCGACTGATTCATATCCAATTGATGAATAATAAAATATTTATGTTATCTTCAAAAACACTTTACTGCTTACCTCGCTAGTCGATAAAGAACGAAATAACAATCTAACAGGAATTAACATTTGCGATAAGGCCTCTTCATGCTTGTTTTTTTAAATCCTCAAGGGTTAAAAAAGCTGCTGCACTACATTGTTTTCCATGGTGATTTTTCAAGGAATTTAATTTCTATATACCGGATTATTAAGCTACCAAACTTTCGTATTTTTAATTAAAAGGGTATGTTTTTATTCCATTTTTGGATTGCTAATAAAATTCTATGTATTTTTCATGTTCATACTCAAAATCAACAGTTTTTGCAGGAATAACACAAAACGAAAATTTAATTTAATCAATAAACCAGAATTACATTTATGAACGACGCAATTAATGATTTTAATGAATTGGTAAACTTAAAAAACAATAAAAACTATTTGAAAACAACGAAAAAAGAAGTTATTTTAATAAATGCTCGAACTTAAGTCGTTCTGCTTGACAATGTCCTAAGTGGCTACGGTGTTTTGCAGCGAGTTCGGCTTTTATCCGCTCTATTAAGTCAGCCAGGGGTTAGTTTTGAGGTGACCCAAAAGAAAAAATCTATATAGGGGATTTAAGTCGCGGGCTACAATTGACTTCTTAAGTTGAAGTGTATTTTGGTATACTGTACAAAATAATTCACGCACTTAACAGATCATCATCAATACTTTAACTTGTTCGGATTAGCTGAAAATTATTATTATCATTATAATTATTATTGTTATTATTATTATTTGGTCATTCCTGCAAAAACCGTTAAATTTGTGTATAGAGTATGTTATATATTATAATTCCTGAGATACATGACTTTCGGGGTACTTTTGACTAACCCTGTATAAAACGGAGTGACGAACAAATTTGGCAATGCGTTATTTTTCTTGATCTAGTTGAGATTCCTGAAGGTAGAATTTGTGGTTAATGAAATGATGTTTAATATTGTTATAATGTTTCAAGAGGAGTGCCCAGAAATATTCAAGATTATTTGTAATATAATCTGTAAGCTTTCGAACTTGGGTTTTTAGTCTACTCTATCGACCGTGCATTTATTAGCTCCATTAAGCTACTGAGTAAATATTTTTATTCGTCGACTTTAAGGCAAAAGGAAAAGCAATACTTGTTTTAGGTCCGAGGTTGTAATTTTAATATCAACATTTATGGATCTTGCCCAGACAAGAACTAATTAAGAGGTTTGTATTGAAAAACACTGTCGAGTTTTGTGATGAAGAGGATGTTTTTATTTCGTAAAATACCAATTTCTACAATAACCTGTCCTGTCCTTTCGTTTTGGAAAAGAGAGCTAACGGTATAATTTTATTAAACCCAACGTTTCTATAATACTGAAGCTATATGCAGCGAGTATGATGTTACGAATTGCGAAAATAAAATTATTCTATTGATAGTAATATATTAATTCTGCTAATATCGAATTCCCTATTAAGTCTTTTAGCGAATGTATGAATGCATAATCAAATACTGCCCAAAATGATGCTAGTGTCCAAATAGTAATCGAATTGTTGTTGTTGTTAATTTTCCTATCTATAAAACGGATTTTGCGGTAATTGTAAACGTCTAATGAAAAAAAAAGATAAATTCAGTTGGTTTCAATTACAATGAATTGCACCCAAATAACAAATACACCTGATTAAAAGTCTCTCAAGCAATTTATAAAACTTTTATACTCTGCGCTTAAAAACCTGTAAGAAGTGCGTAAATTCTTAAAGTAAGCTCCGGTAGGTTTTTCTTTTTAACAACCTAGAACTAACTCCATAACCATGATGATGTTGAAGTTTTTGAGTGATAGCGCTTCCACCATCCGCCGATAAATGTCATAAGGTTATTTCCAAGTATCTAACATTATAATTTTGTTTATTATATTATATAGATTATAAATTTGTCACGAGCGTCGATTTTTTCAAAAACAAATATATACACTGCGCATTTAATTTACACCCTGTACAGTCAGCTCGTCACTTTAACTGCCCCTTCGCCTTCTATTAAGTGCCAGTTACATCGGTAAGGTTCGCACATGTGGGTGTCATTGTGTAAGTGGCGGAGAGTCAATCAAAATTTAGTATTTTCCAAAGCCATTATTATTTAAGTTTCTTCTCCTAGTGATGTGATACTATAAAAATTAATCAGGGGGAGATAAAACTCAAAAATATCAGTTTATTTATTTGAATCAACGCAAGTTCGATTGGTTTATATGATATAGCTATTAGAAAAATGGAGGCAACCAATATGGTCGTTGACAGATGGTCAATAAGGTTGGATGCGACACTTCTACAGAATTATTTTGTCAAAATATGTCTAAACCTCGTTAAATGATCTGGGAAAACGAGTTAAGTGTACTAAAATCGGTGTTTAGAAAGAAAATGGTGCAAAGTGCAAGTTAGTGGGTGAAATGTAGAGATGTGCGCAGAAAATATCAGTACCGCCTACGGCGCATCAATTTTCAACACATTTAGATATTCAACAAGGAATTTTTCAAGAGATTCAGATTTTTCGGAGATCATAAAATACTGTTTACGTTAGTGTGGCCAAAAAATGGAAATAAATTTTCGTAATATTTTAATACGTTTCTACGAGTGTGTCTAGCAGTTGTAGTTAATTCAAAAGCAGCTTTTACTTAAGCTATACGTAGTTTCGACTGAACTTTTTAAGTTTAAGTACGTGAAACAATGATGTAGTCTTCGTTTATTCGGAACAGTTACACGACTTGTTCGAAAGGGGTTGGCAAATCGTTGTGAGTGTCTTAATCCGTCAGTAAATTGAGTCTGACTTTAACCTGTGCCTCCAAATCGTACCCATCGTAAACACATTTACTAAACGGACCCTTGTTCCTAAAAAAATATCCATCAATAGCAAAAATCGGAAGCTTTATTTAAATTTTATAACAATTGTAGCCGTTAAGTACGTAATATTCACGTCTCTATTTCGAATGTCATTTTTACCCTTATAGGGTTTGCAGATGAAACAATCATATAATGATCCGATTTAACTAACACACCATAGACGTAGGCCATGAAATACCCTTATCAGCAAAATGCAACCAACCATTTAGGTAGGAGCCAAATGCCGTTAGTTTCAAAAAGAAGCGAAAACTCAATGTAAGTTCATTTTGTGTCTGTTTTTATTTCAAATAGCATTATATAACTGGAATTATTAAGTCGCTCTTGATATTATCCACGTGTATAAGTTTGTATGTAAATTAATGCAATGCAATTAAAGCAATGTGGTTGTAGGTAGCGTGTAGAAAATATGATTCATTCGTGATTTAATCAGCGCTATGACTCAGAGCAAACATTTGAAAATTGTTATCAGATCAAGCGTTTGGGTTTAAAATTTTTAAAATATATTTACTCGTATACCATATGACATAAAAATTACTTATTAGTTATTTTATGTCCAATAAAGTTACTAGATTTTCAACTCATCGAATATGGGTGGAGTATGTTGGGTTCGATGGAGCTTTAAGCGTTTAATACCTGGAAGGTTTGGGTTTCTTTCACATTCTACAAATAATAAAAGAGCCGCTACCGATATGCTGACTTACACGCTACGACTCGATCTCCATTGGATACACCGGTACCATACCAAAACCAACACTTCTTTGAGAAGCCACTAGTCCTTTATATGCACCTACCTATACCTGGTTTATTGACCGCTAATCTTTCAAGGACTTTGGTTCCTATATATATGTATATAATTGGTTGATGAATGATCAATTTTCACAAAATGTTTCAAATATTATTTCAACTAAGCGTGACCTTATTAGGGTCTGCGGTGAGTTGCAATTTTTTATTGAATTTATTGAATAATTTTTTCATTTATTCAGTTAGCAGATATTATTGTTGATATTCCGGACGGTAAAATCCGTGGTCATGAAATCAACACTTCAAACGTTAGCTTCTATGCTTTTTAGGGAATTCCATTCGCCTCTCCACCGCTCGGAAAGTTAAGATTTCAGGTAATCTCTTTTTATATTGTCATTATTTACATTCGTTCAAATTCGTTGTTATAACCAAAATGTTTCAAAACAGGTGAAGCTTTTTTTTTTCCTATGTTGTTGTCGTTATTTTCTTAATTACTTTATTACTGTCGCAACAGTAACCTCGAACGTGGAATTATGAATGTATTGTTAAAAATTCACTCCAGTTGTTATAAACAACTAATAAGCGAATATTATTATCTAAGCACTTTTGCTTTGATCGCCTTTCAGGCTCCTGCTCCACCTGTACCATGGGAAGACGTTTTAGAAGCAAATCGATCTGGTAAATGCTGTATAGCAGGAACTCGCGATTCATCGCAAAGTGAGGATGTTTATACCTGAATGTCTATGCGCCTGCTCGAAATGTAAGTAAATACTTCTCGAAAAATTACAGGAAATTGTTACGAAAATTTTATAGAATACAAAACAATTAGCAGTGCTAGTTTGGATTTATGGGGGTGCGTTGTTAGCGGGTTGTTCGTCTTTTGAAGAGTTCGCGCCTGGAGATCTCGCAAATGAAGACGTGATAGTAGTCACGTTTAACTACAGGTTAGGAGTCTACGGGTTCTTATCTACTGGAGACGATGTCATTCTGGGCAACGCCGGCTTGAAAGACCAACTTTTCGCGCTTCAGTGGGTGCAAAAAAATATTGCTTACTTCGGAGGCGATCCGGATAAAGTTACGTTGTTTGGGCAAAGCGCAGGTGGAATATCTATCGGCCACCACATCGCGAATAAAAAATCTCAGGGTTTGTATAGGGCGGCAATTTGTCAGAGTGGTTGTTCGTTATCGCCTTTGTATCAAAGTGATCCCAAAACTAATGCCTACGGTTTAGCGAAAAATCTAGATTGGACCATAACAGAAGCAAATACCACCGTCGAAATAAGAGATTTTCTTCAAAATCTGTCCGTGGACGTTTTAACTCCTGTTGGAGGATTTACGCTTCTGGTAGACCTTAATTTAATGTGTTTATAGACAAATGGAATTCTTTTGATTTTTTTATAGACTGGCATTGTATTAGAAGCGGAAAATGACGATGCTTACGTGACGGATGTTAATTTTCCTCACATAGAATCGGGAAATTTTGTTCAGGTGCCCCTGATGATCAGTAATGTTGCGGAGGAAGCTCTTGGGCAGTCTAAGCGTAAGTGATGAGTGTGCGAGTGATGGTCTTCGATACTATTAAATGAAATGCCCATCTCTGTCATGGAGGTCTCAAGTATCCCTTATATTTTACGAACCAATTAAAAATATCAGTAAAACAGAAAAACTCTTGGAACCTCTCTCTAATATTTTCAACGGGATGAAAATCTACTTAAACTGTTTGTAGATCTAATTAATAGTCGTACTTTATATTTAAACAAATTTCAGTGCCTTTAGATTTACTACTCGTTGCACTGCTCTTCGATTTTGACGTAAAAAATTTAATACCTGGAGATTTGACACCATTGCCGGGAACAAATTTGACTGAGGTTGGAAATATAATCAAGGAAACGTACATGGAGGCGAATGGATCTTTTATCCAAAATCTCGCAGCAGCCGCAGAGGTAAATATTCAAAATGGCGCGAAGCACAATTGTGACAAAGACCACGTTTAGGTGAGCAGCGCCTTCTTTGTGAGATCTTCGTTCAAGCAGGCAGAACTTCAGTCCAATTACACGCCGGTATATATATATCAGTTTTCGTTTTATGGGACTGCCAGTGAAAACCGAACTAAAATTGAAGGTACCTATTACACACCAAACACCAAAAAACTAACAAAATGAAACTCTTATATTAGAGAATAAAAACAAGAAACGACATATTGAGTGTGGCTTTTTGACATTTAGGGGTTGGGAAAACAGGCCACAGCGACGAACTGCCTTATCTTTTTAACATATCTGCTATACCCCTGGTGACGGATGCAGATTTCTTGACGAGGAAAAGAATAACTAGACTTTGGGCAAATTTTGCGAAGACATTGTAAGTACGCATTCCGGTAGCGCGAGAGTTTTACTAAATAAAATATTGTTTCAGAAACCCCACCCCTGATGAATCGGATGCACTTTTAAACGTGACTTGGCCTTTAGTTTCACCAAGTAACATACAGTTCCTCGATATAGATAGTTCTTTAGAGGTAAAACCCAACCTAAGGGCTAAACAGATGGCCATGTGGAATAGCGTGTATTACACCTACGGGCAACAACCTTTTGTAGGATTTTAATACACTGTTATTTTAATATTCGTATTCATAAATAAATATGTAAATACTGACTGTTTCACATTGAGTATTGTGAATGAAGCAAATTCCATAAAACCAATTCAAGATAACTTCCATACGAAACATTTTGGGCTTATCTGTTGAGAGGCACAAATTTTCATCTTCACAATACGATTTCTTAGTGGCTGAATCGAGCTTTTGTGCTTTATGTTGAAGTGCAACGATTCAGTTTGCTTTAGAATTTCGGATAATGTACTTAGTCTGCGCTGCCGCTTTACTTTAGCAAAATTACTAAGTGCCTATGCCATACAATATGTATTCGTTCGAGGCAATACAGTTTCTCTAGTCCTTAATATGGATGAACGGGGAAAAGGCGATTTTCTTATTTTCGAAAAATATGATTAATAAAATTTATAGCTGTAGCTGTAGACTTCCACAAATATCGTATTTTGCAGAGTAATTAGATGCAAAATACAACTTTCAAAGTAGTTTTGGTACTAAATAGTATTGGTTAGTAACGCAATAATAAAAATTATAATAACAATTAACATAGCTTTATCGAAGAGATTTCCTAGTTTTAATTTGCTAAAGTAGTGGAATTTAATTGTTTTCCCTATTCGGCATTATTTCACTTACTTGAGTAGCGATATTCAAAGGAGCTAGTAAATCACTCGCATTAAGCTTTTCTTTGGCACAAACTTTAATCAATTGCAGCTTGTAACTTAAGGTTAAAGTACTCTTTGTAAGAGCTCTTCATAGCATCACATTCTATGCGATAAATACTAGATTAGATTGTGAACTGTTCAAGATGAAATTTCTCTTAAATGACAAGCAAATTTCGAAAAATATTTCGCCGTTAAGTATCTATTTAAAATTTCAAATAAAAAGGAAGATAAATTTTTAGCCGATATAAGGATAAATCAGAGGGCTAGTCGATAGCATTTCAGGAATTCACTATTAATTGCGGAAAGTATGTCAGCGGTTAATTAAATTGTTATGCACTTTTTTTCAATCGGGCGTAATATACAAACGAACCCAATCAAAATCAAATGGTGCGAAAGAGACTAATTTCTTTTATGACATTTCCGATATTTTTTTTCCGATTTATTTTATATTCAATATATTTAGTCGTAACACAACACCTCCGTCCTTAAATTCAAAGTTATTCAGGTATATTATGTCGTGTTGGAAGGAGAAAGCAACACTCTCCAGTGCATTAGACTTTGTGGAATATACAATAAGCCTGCAATAAGTATAAAGTGTGCTACATCACTGGAAGTAAACCATCCATTATTGTTCTCTTAGTCGCTCAGGACACTGGATTTTATTCCATTCTATTTCAATTTTTGTGTGACTTCCAGAACAAGGCCTTCATACTGCAATAGATGTTAGGGATTGCATTTTGAGGCATCAAGAATTTTATATACGCGTTTTAGAATGAAATACATTCTTAAACTAGTTTTTTACGGGGTAACGTAATAATATTTTATTTCCCATCGGTCGACAATTTAAACTGGTTGTTCTTGAATTATTAGGTCACATCACGTACATTATTAACAACTGTTTAACTACTGCATTATTACCTAAAGCACCGTAGAGTGCTAATGCAATACCTCTACCTTTCAAAGGTTGCGAAAAAAATATTTCTCGTCAACTAAGTCACTAAGTCAGCCCTACTTTAGAGTTTCACTCTACCTCCAGCGCTACTAAACGCTACCAAAGATATATTTAACGCTACCGCTAAATACATGTCTTATTCTACTAGATTATAGCAATTTTTTTTTATAATCTTACTCATTCAATTCTTTTAACAAAATTAAGGACTTTTGGATGAAGTAATTTTAAAAAACTTCTGACTTTGCTAAGGCCAGTAAGGGTGTTCCGCAGGGTCCATAAGCCTGGATAGTCCAATTTCGCAAAATTTTCGAATGATTGTTCAATTCTGAGTTAGGCGACCTGGATTTAGCTGTAAATAAAATTTTGGATGGATTTTCGGATGCAAAAAGGAAATTATTAGTAGCAATGATAATTTTAACATATTTTTAAATAGAGAAAAATATTGCCATCACACTCTTTTAAAAATTTGGGTCCTCTAATTGATTCTAGTTGTATACTCCCCCCCCCCCAACATAAAAAGTCTTTCTGACATTAGAGCATTCAAGTTCGAAATGAGAAAGTTTTATTATTGTGGGTAAAACTTCTACAATTGTTATAACTATTTTAAATAAAGGCATTATTTTATTTATATAGTTAATTCACGAATTTGTTTTCCCTTCGAAAGATGGCACGTGTGTTTTGTGTACTATTCGTCGATGGATTGGCGCGTTCCTACTCAATATAACCAAATCGATATATCCGCTCTCGATATTGCATAATCGTGTAAACTATTTGGCGGGTTGGCTTAATATGCACCTTCGATGCAAATTACGAATAAGTTCTCTTTATTTCAACATTCTTAAAACAAAGTTACCTGTTTATCTTTACAGAAAAATTACTCTTAACATATAAATACACAATTTGAATCTGCGTGGAAGACACCGACTAGTTATACCCCGTCACCGCAGAGAATTATTTAAAAGATCATATTCCTATAATATAGCCATTTGCATTAACTCTGTTATTAATTTTAATATTAATCAGTCCAATTCAACGTTTAGGAATAACTTCAAAAAGCAGTTGTTACGTACGCACTCTTCTACAAAACATGTGCCCCTTTCCTTTCCTTCCCCCTCCATTTCTTCTCTTTTCTTTTCTTTAGAATTATGTGTGTCTACGCTTGGCGCTTTCAAATAAATTCTACGAAATTTTTTATTATTATATTTTCGATGTTAAATTGAGGCCTGAACAGTATCTAGAACTTCTAGACGGTTGCCCTAACAAGGCCTATTGTTGACAATTATATCACTTATTTAACTTTAGTTATGTAACTATTTCTATGTAACTTTGATGGTTATAACAATAAATATATTCTTATTATTATTATTATTATTTTCTGAATGTAATTCAATAAGGTCTCAACAATGCATAATGAAACTCAAACTTTCCTGCAACTACACACATTTAAACTGTTTCGCAGTAATTTCAAAACTGTTCCGCGGTTCTATATGATCAGAGGTTTTCTGCCAAAACTTATGTTCATTATATTTTTTCGTTGCGGCATTTACCTTGAACGTTCTTACAAAATGGACGAGAAATTAAAAAAAAAAATTGTCTTATTAAGCATCGTCTAGACCGAATAATTTGGGCACCCGCTAGGAAAATAGTCCAATAAAATCCCTCATATCCAGTCAAATGTCTTTCCACAATTTTTCCCATCCTAAAAAATAGCTAATAGAATTAAAAAAATGCAACATGCAAAGCGATTTTATGATACAAAGTCGTTTTTTCGAAACTAATAAGCTATTCATAAAACCAGACCATTTCAAGAGCAAAAGGATGACATGAGTTTAATGTATAATAAACACAATTTTTAATATTCTAGTTTTCATTGATATCTATTTTTCCACTACCTAAACTTTTGTTTTCTGCAATTTCTCGTGTGAACTACTAGTAAGATTGAGTCTGCCTATGTAACATTGCAACTATTTTAACATTTAACGGCATAAAGCAAAAGTTATTTCATATTTATTATGGTTTTGGAGAACCCAGATCTGCTGTGGGAAATCTAATTAATTTTGCAGAATTTATTACAAATATTATGCCATCTGGAGGGCAGGCGGATAGTATATTTACAGACTTTCGATCGAGTTCACCATAGTACTATAATTTCAAAAGTAAGTCAATTTTCCTTATCTAAGAACTGTTGCCTCTTACTGCAATCCTATTTAACAAAAATAATGCACTATGTCGCAGGGGTGCCTCAGGGATCAACATTAAGTCCACTATGATTTCTATTATTCATAAATGATATAGAACATCTTGCTGCATGCGGACGACATGAAAATATACAGAACACTAGAGACTTAAAATGATTGTAGGATATTGCAAGAGGATGTTAATAATTTATTAAAGTGGTGAAAAGGTAATTTGTTAGATTTTAATGTAGTAAAGTGTAGCTCCATATGTACACATTCGTAAAAAAGACCACTTTTTAAAAATATAAATTAAATAAATTACTATCGAATCAGTTATTACAAACGTTGACCTTGACGTTACATTTTATACGAAATTAATAATATAATAATATAATAATTAATAATGATTAATAGTAAGACACTCTTGAATTCTAAATTGAAGATCTATTATAAAATGTTAACACTGCACAATCATTAACGATCTTGCCTTCGACAATGGTGATATCTTATAATCAATAAATATATTTAGTAATAGAAAAGCATTGTTTGCAAAAATGTATTCCGGAATGTAATCAATGTAATCGAATTATTTTAATTGAACTGTTTCCTGAACACTTAACTTTTTTGCCATATTCTAAAAGTTAGTTTTGAAGTTAATTTTAAGGCAATTAGAACCTATTGGCCTTGTGTGTTGAATTAATAATAAATAAGACTTATTCAAGGTTTAAAAAAAATTAACTAGGGAATTTCAGTAACATTTATATAGGGGCATCTAAAATTTGACAAATTTTAAAGCCCTCTTGAACTTATTGATTGATTTAGGCATTTCTGTCACGCTTGTGAAAAATATTGCCCGTGTTTCTCGTAACTTATTTTCAATGTTATTCGATTGAAACAACTAATTAACTTCAATATTTATAGAAATATTGCAAAATACTGCTTTATTGAAAATATAAATGATGCTTCGTGCTCATTTTTCATTCTAAAATTCGGTTCTTTATAAGCAAGTGGATCGATTGATTACATGAGGTAATTTTTATATTAATATAGGGTATATACAATATCGTCTTTTTATAGATTATAAAGCAACTTGCAGAGTCAGACAAACCAATATTTTACTCAGCTCGTAATATATTCCATATGGCACGCCGTCGACGTCGTGATTTTTTTATGTGAACCCAAAAACAATATTCCAGAGATTTGTTCGATATATAAAGGAAACACTTATATGATTTACCTTTCGTAAAATTGACCGGAAGAAGAGTGCAAAAAAGGAGAAAGAAGAATTTTGTTCAATGATCGAGAGTCAAACGAAGCCATTGGCGAAAGAGATGGCGAGACAGTCGTTCATTGAAAACCTTCCCCCGTAAGTTTAACAACCCGAAGCGAGAAACTAGAGACGATCCCTGCTTGTTGTTACGTTTCTATAGAGAAATGTATACGTCCCAAAATGCGTTGGGAATTCGCAAAACAAATCTAGCATTTAAAAAGTTTTTTGTATTAAGAGAGTATGCTGAGGAACCGCATTTATTAAGCCAAATTTTATTTCACTCGTAATATGCCTGTGGGGCTGTAAACTTCAATTCGATGCAAGTTTTGCAGAATAAAATACTAAAGATGTTATTTAACTATAACAGATTAACTCACACGAAGAAACTATACAGGGCTCTGGAAGCTCGGTAAAGTATTTTGGAACAACGTAAATGTATGTATAGAATTTTAAATAAAACTTAAAATACAAAAATTTGCAATCACACAACACCAGGAAACAAAATTTATATATATATATATATATATATATATATATATATATATATATATATATATATATATATATATATATATAGCAACACCAAACATGCAATGAACATCCTGATAACGTCAAAAATATTATAAACTATGAAAGATTTGTAATGCCGCTAAAGACATTTTGTCTTGAGTAATTATTTATACCAGAATATCTTGTCAGTGTACAGTGTTTAATATAAACGGCTCGTTTATTTGTTATATGTCCTCGATTCGAGAGCACCTAAGCACTATCCAGAGGATTTTCGGACACTACATATTTTTTTGTATTTATTAAATTAAATAAATATAGAATGCGCAATAATTTTAGTTTTTATCACACGCACTGTCGATAATTTCAAGCACCTCGTTTACTCAGACGCCATAAAATAATTTTCTTTCCTGTATTTCCTAAATCCAAACGATTATTTGGAACATTTAATATTTACTAAAGCCCTTCACGATTTAGTAGACAAGTCTGGTAAAAAACTATGTGTTTAGTTAGCATTTGCTGAAATTTCGTGTGATTAAAAGATGGTATTTGTTGAATGATGGCTATTTATCTGTGTCAGAAGGAAGGTTTAGAACTGGTTGCTCCATCGAGCCAGACCCTCTCTCGCCTGTCTGTTGTTGTCGGGACGTCATTCATTCAATTCAATTGAATAAAAATATTTAGTCTGACAAAAACTCGTACATCCGCCTGCAACTCTATAATTTAGGGTTTTGAAGGCGAAAAAATTATATGGATATATGGGTTATAAATTATTGCGGAAGTAATATTAATTTTTCTTCCTGGGGCAAAAATTCCATTTACATGACCGAATCAATTGATAAAGTGGGGGTAAATAATTTAAAAATTGATAGTGTGAATTTTTTTGACCAGATCGAGAAACTTCTCTAGCTAAATAACTAACAAAAAAAAGAACTATTACAATCATCAGAATAATTCTTTTGAATAATACTCAAAAAAAAAAAATAGGGTAAACCGCTTACTATTATTTTTAACAAAGTTTTTTCTTCTGGTGTATTGCCAGAAGAATGGAATTATAGTGAAATAATCCCTACATTTAAGAGTGGAAATATGGGAGATGTTCATAGCTATTGATCAATAAGTGAGTGATGTATTTTTGGTAAAATACTTGAAAACATTAAAAATAAAATAATCGAAGAACGACATGGAAAACCAACTTTTTATATTTATCTGACAATGTATCAGCGCAAATAGGTAACGGTGGGAAGGTGGACGTAGTCTTTACCGACTTTAGTAAGGCGTTTGACAAGTTTGATCACTCTATAATGTGCAGCTTTCTAGCTCCTACATGTCGCGTAGAAAGAGCTCTGTAGCGATAACTGGACTTCAGTCAAATTCATTTTACGTAACTTCCGGAGATGCCCAATCTTGGCTTTCTTAAAAAATTTTGGCATTTGCAGATGACAATAAAGTGTTTACAAATATAAAGAGACAAGAGAGCTGCCTGGAACTTCAAGCAAATCTTTTGCGGTTAGAAAGGTTTCGTGAAGAAAACAGCCTATTTCAAAAACACTTTGATTACGGTTTAATAGCACTAATTTAGAAAAAGTTGCTGGATGAGAAATAGACGTTAAACCACATGTTGAGAAAGTTCAAAGATCAATATTTAAAATAATACTCTGCCTTTTAAAAGAAAACAAAAAAAAATTTTTCTTGTCTCCAATCAATTTCTCTTAAAGATGTTTTTTTTAATTATTTTCGATATATTTAAAGCTTAAACATGTGTTTTGCTCTACAATAATAGGTAGGCAATTATAGGTAAATGTTATAATTATGTTGATAGAAACACTACCTTCTTCAATTAATTTATTTGAGTTTACACTTTTTTTTTCGTTTGACTTTGAGATGTCATTGTAATTAAATTCGCAATAAATAAATAAATTGCAGCAATATTTGTTGAGTAATTTTGTTTATTTGTTAGATAAATTCGTTTCTCAAATGTTTACATTCTACTGTGTTGAGCCATCAATTACTATAAACAATATTTTCTTGTTTAAAAGAGTTTAAACAAAATAATAAACCTCGCAAAGCGATACGTTTCATATGAAATATATGCAATATGATGCAACAACGGAATGAAACGTTACTAATTGTTTGAGAATTAATGCTCCATAGTCCAGCGGTAAACGGAATTTTTTTCGAATAGAAGAAAGGGAAAAATATGATTCGTTAGTAACCGACGGAGTGGTTTATTTCTTGACGAATGGTGGAGGCACCATAAATTTAAATTTTCTCCGAAAAGACGATTTCGATTAAATGTAAAAATAATTTCATATCGTATAGTTTTTTGATTTGAATATTTGCTGGCTGGTTTCGGTCGTGTTAAAATAGTTTATTATAATATTCTCTTATGGTTTTGCAGTGAATTATTGAGGTGCATAAATATTCCGGCGCTATTTCTAAATTAATTTTATATTATATTAATGGTATATTATTGAATTCTTCTCAAATCCAGAGAAAAAGTCCGTAAATTATCGGATAGAACTTTAAAAAAATCGGCTTCGGTCATTGCCAAAACTTTCTTTTTGATACTAAACGCAAGATAACAAAAGCAAGCGACAGGATCAAGACTGAAATTAAAATTAAAACCACCAAGACGAACGCGTTGTCGTTCTCTAAGTTATTTTAGGATTTAAATTTGACAATTTTTAATTGCTTATCTTTGTTACATGGAACTACTAAATTATTTGTTTATGAACTGTGATTCTTTTAATAATATAAACTTACCTTTATAAGCAATATTTTTCAAATTAGCATGTTCTAATTCCCTACTGGCGAACAAACTTACCCGATCCAGCCCCAGTTACAAGAGCTCGTTTTCCAGCAAAAGATATATCCATATTTTTTAATCTGACAATGTCGGTTGCACGAATAGTTTTGAATAATCGTAAGCTGTAGACTAGCGAAAAATAAAGAACAATCCTAAATGACGAGATAAAAATATACATTAAAAACCATTGCGTGTTGATGGCCAAATACGAAAATTGGAAAATAATTATTCTTTGAGGGAAAAAATGATCACAAATTATTGCAATTTGGCTGCTATGCAATTTCGAAAATGGTTGATAGTTGGATCCAATCGTATTAATAAAATGTAGTTAAGAATTGCACAAGCAATGGTTAAAATGCCAGAGTCATATTTTCAATCAATGAAATATTTTTGTTAAAATGTATATACCTATAATTTTATTTCTACAGATTTTGATTTTTCTGCTGCTGCACACATTTTACACATTTGCACATTTTAACGAAGTGTTTATTTTTTTTGGACACAATTATAAGATTTCATCCAGAACAGAAATACGGTCTTCTAGGACCTTAAATGTGGTAATTTGCTTCTTAGAAAAAATGCGATCTTTTTTTGCAAGCAATCTTCTGTAAATTATCCTCTTACTGTGACGCAGTGTCCATTGATCTTCTTGGACCGATCGCTTAACAAGTAAATTACAACATCGACCACATCAGATGGATGAACGGACCTGTAACAAAGATACTGTCCATTTTTTGTATGCATTGTTGCTGTGAGTGTGACGCGAGTGACCGTTGCAGTTATTGGCGCCAGCCAGTCACGTGACAACTCCTCGCTATTGGTGTTTATTTGAATAACATAACCTTATTGTTATTGCCGATTTTTTATTTGTTGAAAATAGAATGCTTATATTGTGTGATAGCAGATTTTGTTACTTTGGCTTAGTCTTTGCTTCTTTAGTATTAATTCAAGCTCGAGCCACGAAGTTCAAACACCAATAGCCAGAAAAAGCTCTATCCAGTTTTTAGATGTAGATGAGGTTGTGCAAGTATTACTCACAAGAGGGTGTTATAATTATTTGGTTCGGTTGACATCTCCCAAAACTTGTTTGGGGACAACCGATTTTTGTATTAATTCGCAAATTGTACTTGTGATTGTCGCATTTTTTCATTAAACATATTTGTGAAACCAACACATTTCGAAGCAAATTTCATTTTAATTTCACAATGCATATTTTTTAGTGTTTCCGGCGATATACTTACCATAAGTTGGCAATCTCTCAATTTGGATCTTAATTCTCAAAACTTTAAAAGAGAATATTGTCTTCCTGAATACATAAATTGATTGAATAATGAATTCGAATTTTACCAAAAGAGTTAATCAAAATATATTTATTGTGCTTAATTCGAAATCAAAATACACCTTTGGAATTAGATCCATTATCAATCCAATAGCAGCTACACACTGTCATTACATTTTAAACTTGATTTTACTTTTGGTAATGACTTATTTTTTCTATAAATAATATGACGGTATATGTCCATTATCAAAAAGCGGCGTTTGCTCAAAACTTGCAACTGACCTCTGTACGTAATCAACACACTCCGTTTGCGGATGGGACTCATTACAGACGTATCCACCAGAACTGATACTGTTTACTTTAATATTACGCGACTCCACGTCCTCGGCTAACTCTTTCGTAAAAGCTGCGACAGTTTCTTTGGACAAGTTCTGCAGGACATGATCAGAGGATTGATGAGGATTAGAGGAAATATTCACTATGGAGCCCGATTGATTTCGTTTCAAGAGATCGTCGACGATAACTTGCGTTATACCAAATATTCCCTTAACATCGATTCCAAATACTCTACAATCAAGTTCGTGCAGAAAGATTGAAGGCATTGATGGGTCGTGGTGGATTACTTATCAAAAGTCGATTCTGTGATTTGCGTAAATGGCGTTGCTTCGGAAATATGCATGCTGTTGACGAGCATATCGACTGGCAACAAAGATTTGACGGCTTTTCGCGTTTCGTGCCAGTCTGCCAAATTGACTTTCATTGTTTGAACGGACGGAATCCTCATTTTGAGGCTATCTAGTGTATCTAATTTTAATAGGCTATCTAATTGCTACTTTATTTACCTAAGCGTTCATTTGATATGTCGACCACAATGACTTTTCCGAAATATCTCTCCAACCGCTCAGCTAATTCAGCGCCAATTCCTATCGCGATACGTTTAATGATAGCACATCTTTTGATAGGTATGATAAACTTGAACAATATAAAATAATGAAAAATGTCCAGCTTAAATTTGGTATGATAACCTACAGCAAATTTTGAGAACTCAGTAACCATCCACTATTATTAGGGCAAGTCTATGACAGTTATTTATGAAAACACTGATAATTTTTTAAAAACCTGACTTTGCATTTTTAATTTTAAATAAATTAAACAACGTATCTATTGTATTGTATTTAAAATTCTAAACATTTTTTTCTTTCAGTTTTTTTTTAATGTCAACTAATGGTTTTATACTGTCATTTATATTTTTTAATCTATCCGCTTATTAATTAATAACAATAAATTTTGCCTTTTTGTGAGTCAATTTAGCCATTCCTTTTCACTCTACGCTCTAGGTGATCTCTCTGCTCCTTTTTATCTAACATTCTCCATTATTATTACATTCGCAAAAACTTAATTCATTTAACCACTTTACAATGTGGTGGATATTTAAGAAATTTGAAAAAAACAATTACATTGTTTTTGGTTACATGTTTTTCTCTTACATTCGCACTTGCTTACCCAAATGATCATTTGATGAATCTATATATCTTGCTTTTTCCCGAAATCTACACAGTCGTTCAGCTATTTTCGCTCCGATTCCTAAGAGGTTATATTTATATTATTATTATTATTATTATTATTATTATTATTATTATTATAGTTATATTACGACTCTAGCAAGCAATAGCAATAACATTGAATGCTTACGAAGGTTAAAATACCTGTAGCTCCGGTTATTAAGACATTTTTGCTTGCTAGGTATATCTCCATATTACTTGAAAACTATCTAGTTGATTCAAAAATCATTCAAATTTTACGACAAATTTTAAATAAAAATTTGTCAGCGAAGTTTCAGAATCTTTAAATGTCAACTGTAAGAAATATTTTATGACAGCGGGACAAAAAACTCCGCTAAATGTAAAAAACAGTATAGGCGAGACTAAATTTATTTCAAAGTTGTGGTGCAATCGTACAGACTTATGACATTTCAGTTAAATATCGACCACTTGTTCAAGCCGATAAGAAGCCTCCATCTACTGGTAAGCAATGGCCATGAATCATAGCAGCTTTGTCGCTTAATAAAAAGATAACCGCATTAACTACGTCTTCGACTTCTGCAAACCTGCAAGATATTCGATACCAACTGATTATAGTCCAAATTGCAAGTGCTTACCTTCTGAGTGGAATTTTCTCGAATATGGCCTCCCTTCGAACGGGATCATCCCAGGCTTTCCTACCCATAGCTGTCATCACTACGGTGGGATTAACCGCATTAACTCGTATTCCTTTTGGGCCTAGTTCCAGTGCCAAAGCCCTGGTGAACGCGTCTACTGCACCTTTGGATGCGCAGTACACTGTGTGATATAACAAACCCGCTTGGGCAGCTTGGGAGGAGATGTTCACTATTGATCCCGTCCTGTTTGTCTTCAGTAGATCGTCGACTATTACTTGAGTGATCGCGAACATACCTTTTACGTTAACGTCGAAAGTTCTGGAAAGTTAAACTTCATATCTGAGCTACACCGAACATGAAAGAAAACTTGGAGTTGGGGAAGAAAATATATATTTGCTTCTAGATGCTATGGAAATAAATTCGCGATATATTTGAGGGTGCAGATAAGATATGGCTAATTTATCTTACAGGTCCGTTAATTTCATTTTTTTCTAACTTTTTTATTAACCGAGCCCATGGAGCTCCAAGAAGCACCTGGTACATTCTGGGTTCAAACACTGAAACCACTCTCTATCTAGATTATCGTTATATGATGTAACAAATGTATTGCCTTTTTTAGGAGCTCAGAAACGAATTAGCTTTCTTTCATACATACTCAATAATTATCCCAATAATTAATTTTTCTGTTTCTGATTTACTGAAGAAGTTGGTCAATTACGAGTCCTAACAACTAATTTTTCGGACGATGTACGAAATAATAAGAAAACATATTTATACTTATTTTAAATTTATTTTTTTTTTGCCTTTTTTATTTCACATAAATTACATAACAAAATATCAAAAACATACCGAATTTGCTGACAAATAAATATTCGGACGCATTTAAATCTTTTACTTTAAATCGAACATTAATAAGAAGTAACATCACCTTTCGCGGCAATAACAGCTTTTATGCGTTTTGGCATGGAATCTACCAAAGTCTTGCAATATTCGGGGGTGAAAGTGTTCCAAATTTCGGTGATTTTTGCCTTTAATGCTGGAACTGTACGCTGAGGATTGTTACGCAGCTTTTTCATCCGATGCCATAAAGTTTCAATAATATTCAAGTCGGGGCTACTTGATGGCCACGATAAAACTTTCATATTATGGTCCCCAAACCACTTTTTTGTTGTTTACGCAGTATGGCAGGACGCACCGTCTTGTTGAAATATAAAATTTTCATTTTCAAAAGTTCGTTCTATTGATGGAATCAAATCAAATAAAATTTGTTGGTATTTTTCTGCATTTACAGTACCATCAATGAACTCATAGTTGCCAACCCCTTTACCACTCATACACCCCCATATCATAACACCCTCTGGAAACTTTACCGTGCGCTTTAGAAAATCTTTGTCAAAGGCTTCTGATTTTGTACGAATCACCCTTTTTCGAAAATCGCCTACACACACATCAAATTTTGATTCGTCGCTGAAGATAATGTTACTCCATGCTTCGGTTGTCCAGGATATTTTAGATTTTGCCCAATCCAAACGTTTTTTCTTCTGAATAGACGTTAATAATGGTTTTTGCTTTACCTTTAACAAAAGTAGATCATAGAATATTAATAATTTTTATATTGAAACAGGAAAAATTGTAATCTTACCTTATAAAAACGCAAACCAGACTTATGTATCCATTGTCTACAACATTCTATGGAGACATTTAAGTTTGCCTCGTGATTCCATTGGGCTTGAATTTGTCGTAAGACGCTTCGTCTGCTAGTCTTACAAATCTTGACCAGAATACGACGATCTCTTTCAGTGATTTTATGGGATCGGCCTGAACTTTTACCACGAATGCTAACACTAGCTGTCTCTCCATACTTTTTTATAATATCCTGGACTGTTGATTTTGCAATACTTAAGTCATTAGAAATTTTTTGCATTGATTTAACTCTGCAGTACTAAGATATGATAATTTCTCGCACTTTTTTGTTTGTTGCAACACCACGCGTCATTTTCTTATCAACTATTATACAAACTTGAAAGATACAACCCGAACTGACATGTCATTTATCTAAGCACACTACATTTTACCATCAATGCATGGGTAGCATTGATTTCTTGGTCAATAGACATTCGCGTCCGAATATTTATTTGTCAGCAAATTTGGTATGTTTCCGTTATTTTGCTATGTAGTTCATGCGAAATAAAAAATAATTCATTACGATAGCAGTTTCTGTGCTATCGTAATGTGCGTAAAAGCAAAAAAAATAAATAAATAGATATAAAAATGTCTTTTTTATGATTTTTTACATTGTCCGAACATTTAGTTGTTAGGGATCGTAGTTGTACAATAAAGCAGTGAATCTTCATAAGTAATATTTTACCAAAATTGTATTATAATGTACTAGGTTGTTACTATGTTAAACTGAAGAACGTATATCATCAGGTGAGCTTTTAGGATCCCATATTTTACTTACTTACTAGACTACTAATAACAATTAAATGAAAGAAATAGTTACTTTTGAAATGCTTCTTGCGTCACATCACCGAGTGGCTGAACATCGACATACCCAGCACAATTGACCAACATATCGATGGGCAGTAAAGGTCGTATGGATTTTTGGACAGCATCCCAATCGGTGAGATCGGCGTGTACTATTTCGACAGAAGATATTCGACGTTTTAGATGTTCTAAGACGAAAAAAAAACCGCTGAATGAAAAGCAAATTCTGGTTGGTGTTGTGTCTAACCTAGGTGTTCTTTCGACGTATCTACAGCCACGACATTGCCGCCGTGTTTTATAACCCTTTCTGTAATAGCGCTTCCAATTCCTACAAATGTGCCACTTTCCACTGAAAGTTTTAGTGATGATTTTTGTACGTACCACCCGCTGCGCCTGTTATTAAAACTTTTTTGTTTTTGAAATTAATTTCCATTTTTCAAACTCTGGATGGGCGCACTTTAACACCAAAATATAAGACTGCACTAACGCTAACTATTTCATAATAATTGCATACTGTATTTACTTATAAACGTTAAGTAGCTATTGTTATTGTACCTTATTTTTATCAGCAAATAAATAAATCTCGTGACGCTTTATCATCATCTTATTTTCATCAATGCCAAGGCAATTGGAACAATAAGTTACTATGTTTTCGATTATTTGAATGCTTGACTGACTAACTTAACCACCATTAACCGTGAACGAAAATTTTTACTGCCAAATACGTTCTCTATTTACATTGCCTTCTTTTTTAATATATTTAAATAGTGTTCACTTCACGAATATTTATTTATTAATTTAAACATGTAGAAAATAAATTCAATTCACTTCGAATTGTTCAGTTTTTAGACAGAATAAGACAGTGGATCTTCGAAAAAGGTAGTTCCGGATATGAGAAAATTCGAGGATTAGCATTCACTTTTTCTTCAGAACCTTGGGGTTTTTCGCTCCGCCTTTTACAAATTGGGCGCTAAAATGAGGCAATATCTCACGACATTTGCAAATTAAAAAAGCAGAAGATGGTATACTATTATTTATTGGTTTTATGCCAAAGTATTTTACTTTATGCACAAACATATCCTCCATCGATCGGTAAAGCTACTCCGGTTATCAACTCCGCTTTATCGCTTAATAAAAACAATACCGCTCCCACTACATCGTCAATTTCACCAAACCTACAACAAATAACAACAGGTAATTGTGTCTACAATTACTGGTGCGGCTTTTATCCCAAATACCTTCGTAGTGGAATCTTTTGAAGCATGGGTTCTTTTATTTTCGGGTCAGACCATCCGAGTCTTCCCATCTCGGTCATTATCACAGTTGGATTTACGGAGTTTGCGCGAATGTTACGCGGACCATATTCCAATGCTACAGCTCTTGTGAAAGCGTCTACGGCCCCTTTGCTACTGCAGTATACCGTGTGGTTCATCAGACCTACCAAAGATGCCTGGGAAGACAGATTCACTATAGCGCCCGGCGCGTTCCTAGCTAGGAGATTCGTGATGACGATTTGCGTGACGTTGATGAGAGCTTTGGAGTTAATACTGAAGACGCTGTAAACCAAGATAAATAGTGAAGTTTATCAAAGCCAATTTAATAAGGGTTTAATAACAAAGGTTCACAAAATTAAACTTTTTAACAGAATTTTTTATTTTGAAAACTGATTCGATATAATTTTTGAAGGCTGATTTCAAAAATTCTATGCATTTATTTGTATCGTATAAGGTTTTTTTTGCAAATATTAATGAAAAAAAAACGGTATTCATAAAATAATTTATTTTTTTATTTAGTATTTTTTGAGTGAAATCTTCGTCTTTTGCCAGAAAGCTGCGTTGTCCGGACATTCGGCTGTGTGTTTTTAAGGGCAACAAACTGCTTCAACAAGCGACAGTTTGATATAAATAGGAGGCAGTATCTCTATCTCTTAATATATGTTTCCTACCAGGTGTAAGGCTTGTTCAAGAGGGCTATTCTATTTGAGTCCTATGTCTATCTCTTGCCCGACTATCCCACTCCCAAATAAAGCATGAAAGTTTTTTATAACCCCCGTTGTCCTAGGAGCATGCACAGAACTTTAGGGTCACCACAAAGTATCCACTGATGCTCTTGGTACTTTATGTTCTTCAAAAGAAGTATGTAAAGAATGTACCGAAAGCGCAATGAGAACCGAGGCCAGTTCGTAACTATGGTACAATAAAAAACTTTTTAAACTAATCTTACTTGAGTCAATAAACAAGAGCCATTCTTTTTTTATATACGACACATTTTCTAATTTTGGAACTATGTCAGGAATATTGTTGTAATACACTAGCCATCCTTCCTGAGTAAAATATTGACATAACCCTTTTTCCCGGTAAAAGCTTGATGTCAAGCCAGGTGCCAGTAAATGCTTGTCAAGAAGTCTGGACACTAGCAATTCGGATGCATCCTTTGAAAGGTGCAAATCTCTAATTAAATCATTTAATTCGCCGTGGTTAAACACTTCGGGCTCTCTGAAATCCGGTGTGAAGTCTGAGTCATCTGGCTCCGAATTAGATTCCTCTGATTCTGACGATAGTTCTTTTTGAATAGCAGAGTCAAGATTGGGATACACAATTTGTTTCTTATTTTTTCTGTTGAATCCGTGAACATTACACGAACAAAAATAACAACCATCATTGTGATTCCTAGGCTCTCACCATACCATAGGAACACCAAAACTTAAACTTTTCTTCCTACCTTTTTCTACAGTTTCTTAATGCTTCAACGCAAACGGAACAAACAATTTGATGAGCCCAGGACTTATCTTGGCCGCCAATGTTTATACCAAAACAAGCGTGATATACATTTTTCGCAAAAGAAGTTATAGTTTGCTTTTGCTTTACCTTGACATAACTACCATAGATATAATTGTTCACACCATGTCTTCTTTCAATATGTATACGTATATGTATGCCATAATGAAGACAATACACACTAGTGACAATCTGAGCATAAGTAGGTTCTGCGCCAACTCTGTTGCTTTGCAAAAAAAATCTAATATTATCCAGCGTTGCCAAATCACATTTAATTTCATAAAAATCAATTGATTTAAACATGGAACAAACATATTCGTGTCATAGGTATGTATAGTAATAAAATAACATTTTTAAGATTTAGAGAGCTATCAAAAATATATAGAGCAGATATAATGCATGTTTTGGAGAAAGGTCTCCCAAAAATATCCAAACAGCTTTCAAACATCAAAATCACTGTAGACGTGTGTAATTAATGAAATATCGGGCTCTCATTATTGTGTTGGGTGCCTTTGTTTATTTTTTTTCTTTTGTGGGAGTGCTAAAGATAATTTCAGTTTTAAAAGTAATATTGTGCGACTCGCTGGTATGTCAGTCGTCGTTTCTGGAGTTCTAATAGAGTCGAATTAGAAACACTCATGCCGTATGCCGAAACTGAGAACTATCGATGGTCAAGTATATCGAACCTGTCAAAGTCATCTTCGGTGACGTCCATTAATGATTTTACCCAACCCATCGCAGCATTGTTGACCAGCATATCAATTGGACCGATATTGCTCAACACCTCGCCAGTTTTTTTCCAATCCGATATATCTAATGCAATTGTTTTGATCGACGGATGTTGAGTTGTCAATTCGGCTGGAAATACGTAAAAAAGTAAACGAATGACATTTTTAATGATGAGTTCGGTGTAGCTTAAAAAACATTTATTTGAATTATTTGATAATGGGAAATTTTTATCAGTATCCTTTTTGAATCCACCATTTGGGTAATAAGAAAGAAAAGATATATTTATAGACATCTCTGCGCCCAAGTCAAGTGAAAAGATCATCCGACTTACCATAATTTAGTTTTCAGCACCCAACATTACATAAAAACTATTTACGATATATTACTTACCGAGTAGTTCTTTGGTTCTACCAACACCAATAACTCGTGCGTTGCTTTTAGAAAGTTCGATTGCAATTTGTCTACCAATCCCTAGAAACAAAAATTCAATTTAATTGACTAATGGATTATTTCCTGTTCCTTGCCTTTTGTAACACCCGTGACCAAGGCGGTTTTACCCTTAAAATCAAACGCCATTTCGAAAAAACCATGTAAGCATTGTTGAGGTTTGTTGGGTGATCAATCTGAATTTCTTATCAAAGTTGGCATGTTATTTGGTTTTGTATTCTCGGTTTAAATTGACCTAAGATAACAGTTTATTTATAGTAAATAACGTCAGAAATTTACAGTGCCTGCTACAAAAGGCTTCGAAAATTGGTTTCCGACCCAGAAAATATTTTTTGCCTGCTTCGCGCCACCTATAACAAAATGCTATTTCTGGAAATAAAAAAATATTTAGTTCTTGACTGCCGCGTATAGTCCAAACTTTGTGTTCCAAAATCAAAATTCAATTTTTAGAGGCGTACATAAAAGATCCTCATCTACAGATAAATATCCAAGAGGCGTTTATAATGGAAATCACCTTCCCTAACACTAGAGCTCTCGTCACTGGTGCCTCCAAAGGTCCTATTTACAGAATATTTTTTATTTCGATAGAAAGAATGCGATTTTTTAGGCATCGGGAAGGACATTGCCATAAAACTTGCCCAATGTGGAGCGCAGGTAATGGCGATAGGAAGGAGTCAGGCAGATTTGGGTAAGCACAGTTGAATGGTTGCTATTTCATGATCACAAAATGCAATTTTTTGTAGATTCGCTTAAGAATATCCATCCCTCGATAGAAACAATAACTTTAGATTTGAGAAATTGGCAATCCACAGAAGATACCTTGAAGAACATAGAATCGGTCGATCTTTTAGTTAACAATGCTGGAGAAGGCATGATTAAACCTGTTTTAGATGTGGAGGAGAAAGATATAGATAGGTAACTAAGTGACTCACTCCGATCAAAGTGGGGCGAAGGATAGGAGTAAATTTTCAGAATTTTTGATCTCAACGTTAAGGGACTCATGCACGTCACAAAATTAGTTTTAAAGGACATGCTTAGGAGGAAATCTAGCGGAGCCATCGTAAACGTGTCTTCCCAAGCGGGTCTTGCTGGGTTATATGCCCAATCGGTGTATTGCGCAAGTAAAGGAGCAGTCGATGCTTACACGAGGTAATAATAAAATAGACCAAGGCGATAAAAAAGTTTTGCTTTTGTAGAGCCTTAGCATTGGAAATGGGGCCCCAAAATATTAGAGTTAATTCGGTAAATCCAACCGTTGTCATGACGGAAATGGGTAAAAAATGGTGGAGTGATCAGAACAGGGCAGCCGATATGTTGTCAAAAATCCCTTTGGGAAGGTTTGCTAATGTGAATGAAGTAGTGGATGTGGTCATATTTCTTCTTAGCGACAAAGCTAGTATGGTCAACGGAGTGTGCGTTCCCATAGATGGAGGATACACATGTACATAAATAAATATTTGCTTAAATTTTGCGACAGTGTAATTCTAACTGAAAACCAAAATATAACTACGCGAACATTTCTTTTACGATATAATTGTAATACATTGCCAAAACAGCAGTTCCCAGTCCTGTAGTGTGATCATTGCAGCCGTCTTTGAAACATGTCATATCTTTTTTCATTCGAGTTTTCAGGCGATCGGTGAGGATTGCCGAGAAACAGCCTTCTGATCTCTGGGATTTTAAAATAAAATAGAGCCATTTGTTTTGAAACACTTCCAAGAAACCTTCGTAGCCACATAGGAGAACTAAAATAAAAATATAAGATTCATCTTGGCTTTATGCATAGCTAAGCACCTTGTTCGAGGAAAAGGTCGAACGTATCATCCAGCATATTGTAGTAGTCGATGCTGTAAACCTCTGACACAATTAACCCACAGATAGTTGTAGCGCGGAAAGTATAAAGTTTTCCTGACATACACGACAATCTTTTAGCCAACTGCAGAAGAAGCAGCCTAAAAATACCCTAAAATTAATCCAAACACAGGTTTCCTTGATTATCAAAATCTTATGATCGATGAATGTCTTTATTTAATTGGATGGACTTGTAGTTGTATAGATTGAACAAAAAAATCCTTACTTATGTGTCAAAGTATATCCCACACCTGATATGTCGCCAAAATATGTGTCGTAGCACTGCCTTTTAATACAACACTTTTTAGGTATGCCAGGGTTCGTAGCATTTATTAAATCTTCTAGGCAGTAATCTGAATTTGGCGCTAGTACTTCCACATTCCCCAATAGTTTTTCTCTAAGATTTGAGTACGTCATACGGTGTAAGTTTAAGCTGCGGAGACCGAAGCTAATTTTTTTGTACCACATGTCATTTTTCACCAGGTGAGTGAATTCTACAAGGACAGAAATTCTTTTGGGCCCATTCTTGTTCGTTCGTTTTAACTTACTCCAGTCGTTGCCGTTGTGCGAGTTTTGCTCGAACATTGGCCTAGCTTTCTCTATAATACGTTCCGTTTTGATCAGCATTTCAAACGAGCCGTTTTTAGTTTTATTTGGTCCGTAATAATAAACATCTTTCATAAACGCTGAAAGAATCTGTACATTCTTGTTATTGAACGCGTGTTAATTTATCATTACCTGCCGCTAATCTAACACCAAGCAAGCAGTCCACATTGACTCGATATAAATTTTGATCGATGTAGTCCAGGGACTTTTTTAGAGAACGTTGTACGGTTGGTAAAACCCTAACATCAAAAGCCGATTCTTGCGAAAAACTAAACAGAACTGTGATCAAGAAAATCGCAAGCGACATAACTGAAAACCACCCGCAGTCGTTTCCAACATTTATATATTCCCATTGAGCAGGCTTGCATAGGCGTGCGTAAAATTAGTTTTCTTAGTTCAATATTTTGTCATATGTTGAAATCCACCAATCCGACAATACTCCTATCAAACGACAAATAATACATTACAAAAGAAAATAACGTACTATGTAACATTCTCTCAAGTCGGAACAGAAGTCGTTCATTGCATATGGTGATAGCAAATTTGAAATGTCTAAATTTCAAATCGCTATCTCGAACTGTTTAGTAGTTATAGAGTGTCCACGCATTCTAGTGTCACCCGGCAGCATTTATTCTTTTTTATAATCTGAAAAATTCATATCAGCGTTTATTAGCGGGTATTCATTGAACTTTTTCTGAAACAAAAAGTATAGAGAACAAATTTAAAATACAGGAAAACGCGTCATAGGTTGAGAACGCTAGGTTCTTATTTTTTTTAAAAAGAAAACTGAGTTTATGGCTTAATAATTAAGATATTTCAACAAAACTTCTAATTGTATGGTAAGGGCAATTCACAATCTATAATAGTTTAGGTTAGAATTTGTAATCACTAAAAAAGTAACTGTCATAACCACGCATTAGTATTAAAAAAACATTTTTGACAACACTATGCCAAATTGAAAAATATGTTTTCATATAAAAAATAATACTTTTTTTTCAAAGAAACTTCCACAGACTACTGTAATACTATAATCTTCTGGATTCTTCCTTAATCGAAGTTGCTGACAGTTCCGATATTGAACAACTTCAGTTAAGCTCAGATGATCGGCGAAATGTCAGCAAAGTCGAGTGTTCAGCAACCGACTCAGGAGGAATGCAGAAGATTTGTAAATAGTTAAAAACTAATTGCTATGTATTTTCTTGAAAATTCAGGTGAAATCTGTCAATAGTTGCTATTCTTAATTATAATCATTATGTAATATACAGAGGCCGAAAATAAGGTCTTATTAGTTGAAAGTGAGCATTCCAATGACTGAGTTACAGGAAAAACTTATACCGGCTTAACAGATTTTGCAAAGAAATATTCAAATTTGAAGAACTATAAGGGTAAGTGAGTAAGTAAGTGACTAAGAGTGGTAAAAGTTCTGGAGAACTAGGAATTTCCAAATTTTAGTATACGATCATCATCGTGATGAAATGCTCAAAGCACAAATGTTGTGTTCTTCACATTAGTGGGAAGAGAGTAGGTACAAAGTCAAACAACAAAAGTAGTATTTTACAAATTTTATATTACTCTGGGTAAAATAAATCCAGGCCCGATCGGAATTTTATCACAGTTCTTTTAGATATCCACTTAAAGAAATAAGAGAATATTATTTTCTTCTAGTACAGGGTGCTTCAAAAAAATGTATACACACTTTAAACTATAGTAGTTTTCCCGCTCTACAAGGCTAATGTTATATTTCTTCGCCAGGTGCCAGCATAATCGTCCCTCTATGTTATATTATCAGTTGGAATTTGTAATATCAACATGGGGAACGTACATTTGAGTTTTGAAGAACGTAAGCAGGTTATTAAGTGGTATTGGAAGTTTGAGAATGTAAATGAAGTTCAAAGACAGTGCAGAAGGGAGTATGATACAGAACCACCTTCAAGATTAACAATTACACGCATACGAGACAAATTCGAAGTTCATGGAACAGTGTGTGATGTGCATAAAGGTCATTCAGGTCGGCTTCGAACAGCTACAAGTGATGAGTCATCAACGGCAGTCTTGGAACTATTTCAACGCTCTCCTAACAAAGTAAGTGCTAGCAGCGTGAACGCATTCTGAAGAGAGGCAAGTATCGTGTTTACATTCCAAGGCTGGTGCAACAGCTAAATGACGACGATCCAGATCGAAGGTTGCAATTTTGTGAATGGATTCAGGGGATGGTGATACGTGAACCGGGATTTATGGGTAGCATCATTTGGTCGGATGAAGCCCAATTCAAACTTAATGGAACTGTCAATAAGCACAATTGTGTTTACTGGGGTGAAGAAAATCCTCACATTACAATTGAAAAAGCTGTAAATTTGCCTGGTGTAAATGTGTGGGGCGGTTTGTCTTCAAGGGGACTCATTGAACCTTTTCGATTTGAAGGCACTGTAACTGGTATTAATTACCTAACAATGCTTGCTGATTGCATATTTCCTGCCATTCGTGCATTATACGGTAATGATGATTTTTATTTTCAACAAGATGGTGCTCCGCCGCAGTATCACAGGGACGTACGAGCTTACCTGGATCAAAATTTGTCGGGCCGGTGGATAGGACGCAGGCGGCCAATCGAGTTTCCAGCACGCTCTCCAGACCTTACACCACTGGATTTCTTCTTGTGGGGCACAGTAAAAGATGAGGTGTACAAACGTAAACCACGTAACGTAGACATTCTTTGGAATGAGATTCAAGCAGTGTGTAGAGAAATCTCATTGGACGTTTTGATACGATGTACAGAATCAGTGGTGACTCGTACTCAGAATTGTATTGATGCTGCAGGTCACCAATTTGAACAGTATTAACATTTGTTATTCATGTTTCATTTACATTGGACTTTCAGCTTTCTATTTTCCTGAAATTTAACTTTGTAGAACGGTAAATAAATTTTCTATGGAAGTTCAAAGTGTGTATACATTTTTTTGAAGCACCCTGTATATAAATCGGAGAGACGATCTACGCTCATGAGTAAAAAAATCTGCTTAAGAATTCACCGAAGAACCGCAACAATATATCTGTATTACAAGAGGGACACAATATTCAGCGACAAGTCGACGGAGAGTTTTTTTGTATTAGAATTTATACTTTCAATTACACCGGAGCAGTTTTAGCTTCAGAAATTTGTCACATAGTTCAACGCATCAGTTTTAAATAGTTTCATAAATCCAAATCTTCGAAAACAAACCTCGCAACTTTTACGATACACTATAAAGAAATATAGATAACTCATAGTCTACGCAGATATGGCAAACACGTCGGCCATTTTAACTATTTGAAACATTCAGTTCGGTTGTTGTTGTTGTCGTTATCCAAGCTGGTCTGACCTTGCGTAAATCAAAACGTCCGATCTTGTCATACCGACACCGAGTGTTAAACAAAGATCGACTCAAAAATTAGTACTAAAGACGTATTTCCCGGCGGTACTTAAAGTTTGCACGTACAAAATGGAAATTAATTTCAAAGGAAAACGCGCGTTGGTCACGGGAGCCAGTCAAGGTACTTTTGTTTATTTAGAATTCAACTTGGGTCACCGACGACATTATTGGCAGGTAACCCAGCGCAGATATTTTTAGCTGCGCGTGATGTTTGTTGTGTATCCCGCGCGGTCAAATTCAAATATTTTCTTTATTGTCTCTCTTTATCTCCAAATATTGAGTCGTATGGGCTCTATAGATATCATCAAATGAGGCAATACAAAAAAAGCTGCACATCAGGACATGGCATCATCATTAGTCCATACTTTAAACTTACATTATTAAACTAAATATTGTGGCAGTAATATCTGTAATGTTTCGGCTTTGAGATAATATATGAAGGTTTATTAGGGTTAAAGTACTGTTTAAAATTACTTTCATACTATATAGGTTGTCCTAGAAGTGCTAAAAGAATCAAGGTTGATCTTTTGCAAATATTTATTAATAGGCACTCAATTCTGTCATATAACGTGTTTTGCAAATACCGCGCCCAAAAGAATCTTCTCCGAAGTGGTAAGAGTGACAGGATCCGTTAAATTTCATAACATTTTTGTATAAAACTTTTAATCCTTATAACAAAAAATAAGGCGATGATGATCACTCAGAGACAAAACATCGGATTATAACAATTTTGACGGCTCTGGATAGAGGAGAAAACTTCATTTGATGCTCTGAAATATTGTTTGAATATCTGTTCAAATCAACTTAAAATTTACTGTTTGACACGGATTATTTCGGAACTGCTGGAAATGTTTAAAACAGAACATTATTGAACATTAAAAGCGCTAATTGTCACTAATTATCTGATTAGATTCTTTGGACCCCTGTATAAATGAAATGTCACATATCACTGACGGCAAATACTATATTATAAAGAAAATTCCTTTTAAAATAACACAAACTGATATTACTTAATTTAATTTATAAATTTTAATGATCATCATAGAGCGACACCCCATTAAACCCAAAACTCTTTTGTTTTTCTCATGCTATTGCAATAATCTTGTACGTAATAATCTTCTCGTTAGAGTTATTACAAAAGCGAACTTTTTTTGACAATTTTAGGCATTGGCCGAGAAATCGTCAAAAAGTTAGTGCTATGCGGAGCCAAAGTTGTAGCAGCAGCTAGGAACAAAGATCTACTCCGTAAGTTCTAGTCCAAGAATCGTGGATATTTTTTCTAAATTAGAAGTATATTTCAAAAAGAAGGCAATGAAATCTTACACCTTTTTATTACTAAGAAAATTCTAAACATACCATCCTTTTTGATTTGCATTTGATTATTATTATCCTCATCACTCCACTGGAGAAAATCTATCAGATCAACTGCAATTCGGTATGAGTCAATCAAAATTTACTTTCTGAAGCCTTCAAGAAACCAAATTAATTAATCTAAAATCTAGATTAATGAAATTTGGAGTTTATTTTAAATGTCATAAATTTCTTTAATGACTGGCAGCGATAGTTGCAAATAAAGTGTACTACTTATTGTTTGGTATGATGTATAGATATTGAAAAAATATCTAAAAAGTTGGTACTTGATTTTAGTGTCTTTGCAAAAAGAGTTGCCCAGCATCGAAATCGTGCAAGTCGACTTGTCCGATTGGCAGAAAACCGAGGAAACCCTTAAAAATATCGGTAACATAGATTTGTTAGTAAACAACGCGGGGCTGGCCATTTTGGGGCCCCTAACCGAAGTAGCTGAAGACGACGTAGACAAGTAATAGTTTACTTCTTTGCTTATTCAAAAAACCAATTGTAACCCTTTTTTTTACCAACATATGTTTTCAAATGAAAGAATAATTTAATTGTGCATTAACTATGAACTAACTATTTTCCCAGAATTTTTGCCATCAACGTCAAAGCAGTAATAAATGTAACAAAACATGTGATTAAGAACATGATCGCAAGAAAAGTTCCTGGATCCATAGTCAATGTGTCATCGCAAGCTTCCGTAATCGGCTTAAATGATCACACTGTATATTGCGCCTCAAAGGGTGCAGTCGACGCCTTCACCAGGGCGACAGCTTTAGAATATGGGCCCTACAACATAAGAGTCAATAATGTGAATCCTACGGTTATTCTTACGGATATGGGAAAACTGGGGTGGTCCGATCCAAAGGTGGCAGGTCCGATGTTGCAGAAAATTCCGCTGAGAAGGTGATGTGGCATAAAATATGAGATATTTATTTTGTCAAGTTGGTTGTTTTTTGGAATGTTCATTTCTTTTGTTTTGAGCTATTTTGAACACGTTTTTAGAAATGTTTAGCATTTTACTTGTTCTGAAAGGCTGAGAAACGCTGTGTTATACTGAATTATTAAATGTGCATTTCTTTTTAAGATTTGGCGAAGTCGACGAGGTGGTCAATTCTGTAATATTTTTACTCAGCGACCTATCTACGATGACGACAGGAAGCAATCTTCTGGTGGATGGAGGCTACGTGGCGGTATAATTTGCAAGATGTCGACCAATATAATAAATCGAGTGATAGGAGCGGATATTTTATTGATTTGATTGATTTAATTCGTTTCAAAACAATACAAAATACATAATAAATAATAAATACAAAACGCTGTTTTCAAACACTACAAACATTTTCAAACCGTTTTTGTAAATTATAACACGGTAGTGAAAAATAAAAAGAAGCGTGAATAGAATTTCAATATCTGTATTCTGACCTGCATACTAAATTTATTTTCACGTCCAAGAATCAATGAATTTATTATATACTTATTTACTTCAAATTATAATTTCTTGATTTTGCTTGTATCCAGTACGATAACTTTAGTATAAAATATTTTTGGTATATCAACAGCAATATGTTTTTAAGAATAGGATGTTTAAACTTAAATTTTGCGTCTAAATCTTAAAAATAGCATCTCCGCCATCTCTGCGTGAAAAAATAAATGATCCTTCTGGGTATGGTTAAATAATATCTGTAACAACTTCTGAAACGTACTTTTCAAAACGGTAAACGAGTCAAATACCTTCCTAAAAGATGGCGCAGCGGGCGGCAAGATGCCGTCAGCGAGGAGAATCTAACAAGAATTTCTATGGAAGGCGTATAAGACAAAACACAAAAAAAAAACCCTTGCTATGGTACAAAATATGTTTTAAATTATTGGCACAATCCAAATATATGAAGAAATCTGTGTGGGGTTTCATAAGAATAGAAATAACTTTATTAAAGTCGAAATTTTAGGATTGGGTATTTATTTATGTGACGATGTGTCTCTTGTAAGCATGCGCAGTAGTATAAAAGGCAAATTTTTAAAAGTAATTGTTGTTATTTTCGAAAAAGTCTAAATTTGCACCTATTTGGGTGCGGATTGTTTGTCCGAGGTTTGAGTTAAACAATTCTCATAACAACGTTGATACTTTCCAAGTGAATAACCCTTCCCAAATAAGTCCAAGCTGAATAATTCGACAAACTCGCACTTCGTAACCTTATACTCGATGCTACGATTAATAAAATAAGGTCGGATAAAGGTAAAAAAATTAAATAAGTTCTCAAGTAGCGACGTATCACCGACAACAAAATATGAAACATTTCCTTGGCACACATCCGTAATTGGTAACGATGCTTAAGAATATTCAATGACTACATTTTATTATGGTTACTTCCGATTGGTAACGCTGTCTGAAATTCTTAGTTTAATGTGTGGTGTACTCAATATAAGTTACCGTGTTGTTGCTGCTGTAATTATCGGTATCTATTTAAATACATTTGAAAAAATAAAAAACGCATTAAAGCAATTGTTATAGCACATATCTTTTGTCGATTAATACTTATATGCACTCTTGAGTGCATACAACACTACAACAACAAAAATTCTTTCAAAGCTATCAAGGTTAGAAATCTCTTCAACTGGATGAAATCGATTGATTCCTCCATTTCCGCAATAAACTATAGCAGTTTATAAGATAGAGGCGAACAACTAGGAGTAATCATGTTAGAAGCAGGTCGAGACGCTAGGATTAGGATTTAGGATTTATTGTGTGTGACTGATGTATTGGCTTTCCGCGCTATTGTGTTACACTTCTAAACATTCCCTTCCATATTATATTCAGATATCCGTCATATAATATATTGAGGTTGATGTGTCCGGCGTACCTACATCCGTATCAGATTTTTCAGATTTGTTTGATTCATCGCTAATAGGGTGCTAGTCGTGCATTCCTTCGTGAGACTTTCGATTTTTATGTATATAACTATATCTTCGAATAGGTAAATGGTGGTAACAGCAAGTTATCTTAAGCGAGACATTCGTTGCCGGTTGACAGGATATAGAAAACATCGGTTTTGAATCTATGCGAAATGTTTCTGATGCGTTTCTGGTCAGGAGGCCGACTGTTTCGTTACCCTCACGTCCTCCATGCCCGGGATCCATGTCAGCGTTACCTTTACTACTAAATGCTACTAAGAGGAAAGTCTGGTGAGTTCACCAACTCGCCAAAACAGTTTTCCCAACGCTTTATCGACAAATCGAGAGTGATCGAAAAGCCACCGTTAAATATAAACCGGTCTCGACGTCACATTCCACTATATAAATACAACGAAATGCAGTACTACTCTTCTTTAACAGTCCCTTAAGGCATTGCGAAAGCAAAATTTGCACGATAGCACGATAGCAGTTATAGTTCGAACATTTGTGTTCGATTAGGAAGAATATATCTGAATAATTAGAAATACCTGATTCAGTGTTATTTTCACAAAATTTGTAATATCTTCTTTGCTGGAAATTACTGCTATTTTAGAATTGTGGACATCATTTTGTTAACATTACTTGAAAATATTCATGTTATTACGCAGAAAAATTGTGCTGTTGAGCAGTAAGGGAGCAAAGTTTCCACGCTAGTTTCCTTACACCCTATGTGTATGCTGTGTCATTTTTTTTTATTTTTAAGGCATAATTTAGGAATACTATTGGTAATACTGATCGTCATCGAAGTCTTAAAACGGTACCAAAAGATTGATGAAAATTCTGATCGTGTGAGAGAAACTGACCGACGGACTATAAATTTTCATAACTTGCTTTGCTCATAACAGCTTTATATCCAGCATTCGATACCTGAGCATAGGTTCAAATATGGGTGAAAATCGCAATGTCATATAAGTTTCTCATAGACAACACTAATTTTACTACTTGATGCGGATCCTTTAATGTTATGAGATAATAAGAGTTTCGCAAGTCACAAAACACATGAATTTCTCATGGACAGAAGAGACTTTAGATTTAAACATTAGTGTTGTCGCTGCTTTTACTAAAAGTTGCCGATTTTGGGAATATTCGCAGCAGAAGGTCGTAGAAATTGGCTCACTTGTGAAACCGTCACACAAAGTCAACAACAATAGTTACGCAACGCTTGCAAATACAATGCGTGTCCTATAACGTGGTCAATAACGTTAGAAGATTAGAGTCGCATAAAACAACGTTTTCGCTTGGCCATTTGGTGGTCGCGCGAAAAGAAATCCGCGCGAACTTACCGATGACGACTAAAAAAGGAGAACGACACGGTTTCGCTCAACATAGAAGCGAAGCCTTGACGAGCTCGTAGGAACATTTTGTTTATTTATCACTTTTATTTACTTTAAATTATTTCAGTTGCCCACATGCAAATGGGTACTAATTATCTGATGAGACACCCATATCCACCCGCTCCAAGTATGTCATAAAATGTCAATACCGGTAGAAATAGTAGTAGCTAGCGAGTTACGTATTTAACTGATGGAAATATTTAGTTGCCGAAAACCATTAACATATTAAAGGCGCTGAAACCAACAAACAGTTAAAATTTTTACTGAAATTACTTTTCGATTTTTGAGTTTGTTTGTAGTGTCCAAGGAAAATATATTCATTCAAAAAGCTGTCACTCTAAAGTTTTAAAAATTTTAAAATGCCCAACTTGAAACCTATTTGCTCCCAAACCCGTGCGTTAAAATCCCGGAAATGTCCGAAATGGTTCGGATCCGTGGGAAACGAAACTGACGTGGTAAAGTGACGCTTTCCTCACGCTAGATCGGTGCGTAATTAGGTATTTTACAGACGGGAGTAGAAAAATAATTTTAATAGAGTGCGTGTGTTTTTGTGGATTTTTGTTATATGGAGGTCATCTTTAATTTAATTATTTTGAAAACATTTTTTAAATATTCATACCAAGAAAAGTTAACATTAAAAGCAAAGGTTGGCTATTATCAGATCTTCTCATTGAAAAAGCTAATGTAAGTAGAAGTAGATACACATAAAGAGTTACCTTCATACAATAGTGGGGCTCAATTAGATTGTATTAAATTTTGTGGAGCTTTTGAATTGGCTCTCCGGGAATTTGATTAGAGCAAAACTTTCAAGAATCGCGTGATATTTCGTGGACTTATTAATTTTTCGGATGATGAAGATTTGCGAGCGATAAGTGACTACCTTGGTTAACAGCATATCCAAAGAAATTCAGAATATTCTGTTACAGTGCGTGATTGAATTTTTTCATGAACAAATACTTGAAAAAATTAATAACTGTCCTTTTTGACGATCATGTGGGTAAATGTATACTAAATTTTTGTGTATATTTTTTTCTTCTACTTACACTAGCTTTTTCAATGAGAAGATCTGATAATAGCCAACCTTTTACTTTTAATTTTAACTTTTCTTGAAATGAATATTTAAAAAATCTTTTTAAAATAACTAAATTAAAGCCGACCTCCATAGTACAAAAATACACAAAAACACACGCACTCTATTAAAATTATTTTTCTACTCCCTTCTGTAAAATAGATAATTACACACCGATAGCGTGCGGGAAGTGTCACTTTACTAGGTCAGTTTCGTTTCCCACGGATCCGAGCCACTTCGGACATTTCCAGGATTTTACCGCACGGGTTTGGGAGCAAACGGATTATTTCGGAGATATTTCCAACGCCTTGAATTTGATATTTGTCAATTCTGACGGCCATATCAGTGAACGTATTCGTGTTGTTTGGCAAAAATGTACCCAAAAACTACCGCTTGTAGAAAAAGTATTTAATTATGTTTTTTCCGTAAGTTCTTAATTTTTTTGGAGCTCTGCAACATTGCAGCGCGTGCCTTTTTTTAAGTTACATGAAATTCTTATTATGAACCTCAAATTTGCGATCGCTCGACTAATGAAAGCAATGTTTATTGCAATGGCATTTACATGTGAATTAAAATTGAACTATCATCAAATAATAATCCCGAATTCTTAGTTTCAGTTTTTTGAAAAAATTGAACGTCCAAACTCCCTGATGATTACGAGAGGACGCTCGATATTCTCACTTTAGCCCATACATTCGAATTTTCAGTGTCCCCTAGGCTTGTCTGTAATCTAATACCCATCATATCAATACACCTACAGGTGAAGAAACAGTGCTATTGTTCGTATTTTTGTCATATGCGTGTATTTTAAGGCGCAACTGCACCATAAACTTTATTGGTAAAAAAAATCTTCTTTAAACAAGATAATGCGTCCACTTCTAAGAGTCTATGACGTCAAGAAGCAATTCGATTTGAAATTTTTCTGTTAGCGCGCTGTTTCTTACTGTACACTTTCATATCCCGTGATGATAATGTCATACTTCTTATCGCAAAAGTGCTCGCATCTAAAAATGCCAGCATCATCACACTGTCACAAATCGTCTAACTTAATTTCCATCATTTTCATTTTTTGAGAAAACAAACTAGTAAGTAGAGTTAGTCGA